GATCAGTACTGACCTAAAAAATAATCAAGAGTTTTAGAAATACGTCGCAGATTTAGAAACATCAATGAGCAAAAGGTGATTGAAATTCTTTGGTCACATAAATAAGATGAGTAAAGATATGATATTTGAGATAACGACATTTGACCAAAGTAATGAGATAGAAGAACACCAAAGGATATCCTGAACAGACAAAGGAAGAAATAGTAAGACTTGGGATAAAATAAGAGAAATGAAATAGCAGGATAGGAATAAATTCGAGAGAACAATGAATAAGATAAAGTATGAGAAGGAGTTAGTCGAGGGTGCGGTCAAATAAATAAAAAATTAAAATATATTAATTATTTTAATTAATATATTTTTGTCATAAGAATTGATGTGTATTTATATTTTATAGACAAACGTTATGTTTCTAACTATAATATTTACGTTTTCATGAAAATAATTGAAGCAATCAGTAGGTTTCTTTATTTTAAACGTAAATTTCAGCAAGCAACATTTGTCACTGATAAATACATATCAATTCCTATGACGGAGATCTGCGAGAAATACACCATTTCATATTTCATATTTCACCAGTATTTCAACTGCCTCCCGCAGTGCCACATCCTACGCCCTGAAGACGACCTGCAAAGTGGGTCGAAACGTCGGCAAAAATTAAAATAATTTATATATTTTGATTTTTTTATTTATTTGACCGCACCCTCGACTAACTCCTTCTCACATTTCACATTTCATTTTATTTATAAATAAAATGTGTTTTTAGGCAATTATGTTTATTACAATACATCCCATATCACGGAAAAAGAAGAAATAAAAGCTTTTCAATAGTTAATTGTAGTCATTTTTTGCAGAAAACACGCGTACTTTAAGGTGATCGGGTAGGATATCAAATCATTTCGTTACACAACTTTATCTGAATCTCAAAATTTTCCCTAATAAATCTGAACTTAATTAATATGCTCTTAAACGAGGAAGGTTTTTGTAAATGTTGTACAGTTAAAGGATGATAAAAAAAACAAAACAAATAATTTATGATTTTTTTTTTTTTAACGGAACTTAGCTGTGTTTATCCGCCATTTAGTCCTCTTTAGATACTTTTAACAATGACGAACTCTAGTTTCCTTTTTTTCTGATTTACTATGGAGCAATGTTTAGATACTTAAATCAAATATTTTTTATGTTATCGCTTCCTATACAACAAAAAACGTGACTCGCTTGAAAAAACACAAATCTTAAATTTCCCTCTTTTCTGCTGAAAATTTGGAAAATTGTTTATGTGAACTTTTTTGTAGACCTTGAGGTCTATTATCAGAGATTTAAATATTTACATCCACTTACGGGACACCCTGTATATTTCAGTTTTGTAGGTTAGGAATTTGTTTTATTAGTAAAAATAAAAACACGCAATGGATTACAACAGTCCTTTGTTTTCTTCTGTTTTTTTACATGTATCGTTTCAATTTATATCATGTAAATAAAAATAGGTTGAGCTATATGAAATAAATTTACGTTTACTTGTGTGACAAATAAAATAATGGGAAGACTAACACACCCATAAAGACCCGTTTACACAAAACGGGCGAAACAATTATATATACGTCATTTAAGTTTATTTGATTGAAGGAAACACTGAATTTCTCAATGTACCAAGGGTTATGAAACAATTAAAAAATGTACTTTTATTCCCCTCCCATGACCACAATCTCGATGTAATGCAAAATTCTATTTCTTTAGGTAAAAATGTAATTGCTATGATTCCGATGAGCCTGGTGGCAGTACAAATGATGGCATATGCAAGTCGGAAAGAAAAAGAGTAATATCCAATACGGGTTAAAACCTACTTTCAGGGCAGATTACGCTGTGAGCGGTCGTGCAGTGAGCCGGGAATCGACATCTTATAGTTCTGGAGATAGAGCAAAAAAATGTAGTTATTTTCCAACTTGGTTTGAATTTAATTTAAATTATATTCTAAGAGGCTAATCTAAGGAATAGCCTTAGTCTACCAATCCAAAATTACTCATTTCAGGATGGATACTTTGACAGATCAACTAGCTAGAATATTGCAACACTCGGGACGATTTCTTCGTTAAACAGCACATATTTTGTGTACTTAAAAATTCAATCTTTCTAACATTTGTGACAGTTGTAAGTTTTGAAATTTAGTCTGTCAAAATATAACAGCACGGCAGAAACTGCTCAATACCGTTGCCGCTTATTAGTAGAAATATTTGTTTGTTCATTAAAGAATCAGATTCATTTATGAAAATATTGGACGTGCTCATCTCTTAAAAGCAGCGACTTTGAAACAGTAGACAAGGCTTATTTTACTTCAAGCGGTACACATTTTCGTTGTTCTTTTTCTAAAATGAGGTCCTTATTTTGGTTTAAAAAAAAATAACTGGCTTTAGGACTATCGAACTTCAGGTTTAAGAAATGACGAAAAACGTTTTTTAAAAATCCTTCATAATATAATCGAGCAACATTTTTAAATTTATGGTTTCTACGTTGTACGTAAAACACTGACATTCGTAGTTTTTTATTTGTATGAATTCTTGACACTTTATTTTTTTTTTCAGAGGGGAAGGGTTCAAGTTCAAGAAAGCGTCTTCTTTTTTTTTAATCCTTGTGACTTCCACTAGTCTTGATTCCATCTTGCCTAATTGTAAGTGGAATTTTAGCGATCGTAGTTTGAAGAAGACAAATTTATGCGTTCACTGTTTTTCAGCAAGTTTACGTGAAGTTATATTTTATTCTGAATACGTACAAATTTATTGAGGTTCGAATATATGTCCCACTAATAAAAAAAAAGAACTATATATTTAAATCTCTATGCTCGAAATTTTTAGAACCATTTCCTTTCTTTAAAACGAGAAGTTTTTAATTAATTACTACTTATATCTTTCTAACAAAATATCTTTTTGATCTGATAACTTACGTCTATTAAATTTTAAAACTGTAGAACATTTATTTTATCATTTCTGTCAACAACTGATAACAGTCTCTTTATATGGAAAATTATTGTAGTATTGAAAGGAATTACTGTTGAATACACCAATTATATTATGGACGTTTCACTCTGCTACATGGATGGGAGAAAGAAACTTAAAGAAGTTAATATCCTAATAAATCCAGTGTTTGGGTGGTAAAAATAAATCATTTTATAACTCCAACCAATTTAGTAATACAGTCAGAAAACAAAAAATATTTTAGTTTAAAATAAATTTTAAAAAATCACAGCAAAAAAAAAACCAAACAAAAAGTTAAATTCGAATTATTCACAAGTTTCGTTTCTAATATGGCTAAACTATTTAATCCTGTAAATAAAACCACCAAATATTATTAATCAACTCAGGTGAGAATTGAATCCATACCACTTAAAACTTAGTACATTCCATCCACCACCACCCCAAAAGTGATTCGAAAATTGAATTCTTAATGAAATGGAAATTAAATAATGAAGTGTTAATATCTTGATCACTAAAAAGGGACCAAGAAAAAGAAAATAAGCAAAAATGGAATCAATTGTTTTCTATATACCTACTTCATGTAAACTGAGCTGCCCTAAATAAAACTTTTACACACGCAAAAAAAAAAAAAAATCTTTATGATGACCGCAGCAAACATTCCATTAGTTAATCTATTTTTATATTAATGACAAACACATCAATGTTTGTATTTCCAGAATAACCTCTTCCTTAACTCCAAGTATATAGTATAGGTTTAATAATCTCAAAGAAACTTTTTGGTATAGAGTTAAAAATAAAAATCAAAATTTGGCCTCCTTCTTTACCACTTACAGCAGCAGAATAAGTGCTAACAGAGCACCTGATTCTTTTCAATTAAACACCCTTATCAGCAAAAATAATCTCAGAACATTTATAATTTAGAAAAAAGGTATAGCCTGAAAGCAACAATTAATTAAAATATTTTCTGAACATTACTAAAAAGAATTTTTAACAACTAATTATAATTTTGAAATTATTTGATAATTCAAATGATGTAAAGGAAAACCAGAATTACAGAATACATTAAACTAAAATAGATATAAAATAATTGATTGATTTGAAATATTTATATGGGAATATCCAAATGACTCCACTACAAAACTTGCAACCAACCCATAGCTGACGGCTTTAAGTACAGCTAGCGCTACCTATGAGCAGCTGATAGGAACTACAACCACGTGTACAGTGAACTTGAGGGCGACGACCCAGACACAATAATAATACATTGCCCTCATTTTCAAGGTGGCCCACTGGGGGTCCCAGTTACCCCCAAACACACATAAATGATTAGGGTAATTCATTTTTATTGTTATATTACAAAATAATATAAAATGAACAACGCGATCTACTGACAACTAGAAGTAGTGAAGTAACCTTCAAAATGGGTTATTAACTATCAAAATATTTTCAATAATGCTGGTACTATTGAAATGATAAGTGACAACAAAAAATTATAACATAAAAGTAACGTTAATATTATTACTGGAAATACAAGATTTAAAAAATTCCATTATCACCAAAACTAGAAAACATTTCTTCAATAACACAGGTTATAATAAAGCACCATATATACATCAAAACAATTGATTCATGATTATGCTGAATCTAAGGAAAAATTGTTTAACCTTTTAAATAACAAAGATATATCACAGAATACAACTTAATATGTTATGAAACAAAAATATTGTTCTAATAATTATATCTATTCTAAACTGGACAAATAAGAATGATTAATAATGGATTAAGTTAAGCTGTATACAGTCATTGTATAACATAAGGAATAAATCCAGATAAAAACACTTCTGAATGTGGAAGATATACACATGTATTTTAACAATGAGATGAACCAAAATAAAATAAATTAAAAACCATAATGTAGTGTTTCGATATGAGGTGCAAAATATCTGGAATATTGGTGCCAAAACACAATGTCGAATGTCATGATTTCAAACTTTTCAATGAATACTAAAGATATGAAATAAAAAAGTCACTAACCATTGGAAAGCATTGTAGTGGAAATAAACCAAGCCCTGTCCATAGAGAAAACAGGGATCCTTCCAGTGATCAGGTTTCAATTTGAAGAACTTCTGATAAGCTGACATCGCTATACAAAGTAAGTAGATAGATAAAATGCAGTAAACCGAACATAAAACATAACTTACTCTAAATGATTAATAATACTAAAATTAAACTTTAAATGTTAAATGATAATGTAAACTAACACTAGTTGTTTTCGTTATTCATGATAATTTCAACAATTAAAAATTAAACTTCATCATAATGCATTCATTATACAAATTAATCTATATCACGGTAATTTATAAGAGTTAAACTGAAAATAATTACAAGTTGAGGGTGTCTAAGAAAACAAGTCACATGAACAACCTAAGTGTATATCCATTAAAAATAAAATGCAGCTGTAATGTATACATTACATAATAATGTGTAGTGATATACTAAATATAAGAAAAAAATATTATCAAAATAAAAGATGAACACCGCAGCTACCCTCAAAATAAATATAAGATAACACAGAACAATGAAGTTTAAAGTTAAGGTAAATAAATAGCATTTTTAGTAATTTACACCAAAATCATGTGATTGATTACAATTAACCAATTAAATTCAGTGGACAGAAGAGTTTACCTTTAGCATAATCTTCCAGTAAAAGATGAAAGTGGCCAAGTTTACAATAAGTTTTAGGGTCAATATTTACACTTTCTTTAATATCACTTGATTCATCTTTACCAAGTTCTTTCTTCCTCTCCTTTTCTTCTTGTGCTTGCATAAGCATGCGTTCCAAATATTTTACAGCCTGCAACATAGAAATATAGCAATACTCACAATATAATGAAGAAAAGGACAATATACAACTTTGCATAATAACACCTACCTTTAAAACTAAATCCTTCTTTTTACTTTCTTCAGGTGTGTTAAGTTTTAAAAATCCAAACTGCCGACTGAAAAAATGCAATAGATTCTAGGTAAGTAAGCTATCATTAATAAAGTGTCTAATTGGTATTGTGATATTTGTTGGTTAAACAAGAAACTAGTTTACAAAATCTAAACAAACTCATTTTATTTTAGAGCCAAGAGTTTGATTGAACTCCAAAACAAATCCTGTCATATGAGACAAGAAACTATACAGATATAACAATGTTTTTACAAAAGCATAAATCATGTTTGACTAAAATACACAATACATAGTATACTTCATCTTTTACCTATCAAGTTCAGATAACACCTGAAGTTCTTGGGGGGTTAGATTAATTTCATCTACTTCTTGTGCCATTATTTAACTAAACCAAGCCTTATCACCTTGATCTGTTAATCTTACCACCCCACAGCCACTGTTTTAAACGTAAAAAAAATATGAACTCCATCCTTTATCCGATTGTTAACACGATAACTAACGATACATGTCGTTGGGTAGAAGACATACAATACCACCAACTTTATGAAACGGCAAGAAGCCGCATACGTATTAACAATAAACCGCAACGATATACACTATTAAACATAATCATAATCGAAATGATATTGTGTCCTCAATTCGAATATGACCTCACTAAGTTCATGTCTTGAACATGACAACTTCCCAGTTTCACAACAAACTGTCTTATAAGTGATTACCATGCTTACTGGCAGATGCCGTTGCTTTCAATTCAAAATAATCATAGTAAAATATTTTTAATTGAAAGGAAAATATGTAAATTGTATATTGTTATTTTTAAAATATTCCAATGCATTTTGAAAATGCATTTCATTCGAGGTTTTATATGAAGCCTCCTCTTTCTCACGATCAAGAATGCTCGGCAAGCTGTTGTTTTGTGAATGAGCCGATCATAGTGTGTTAGAATAATAATTGTTGTTACTTTAACTTCCAATGCATTGATAGGTTGTTAATATTAGTTATTTTATTTATATCCGTGGCTCCGGCCGTGATATGCTATCATATGTCCAGTTTAACTAGAACAAGGGTCCTTGAGACGCAAGGAGAAGACTGTGAAAATACTGTTAAGCGTAAAAGGAACTCGGTGAATACCAGTGAAAAATTTACTAAAAAAACTAAAACAGACGAAAACATGACTGATGCTACGAAGCAAAAAAGAGCCAACTTTTCAGCCTTGACACCTACTGTTAATGGCTTAAACAGAACTCCCAATGTTATTAGTTTAAAACCTGGTGCTGCCAAGAAGCTCACCATTAAAAACCTCAAAGGTTAGTAATCAAATTTATATATTTTTTAGCTGTATGCCTAACATAAGTTAATGTAATATGTTATATATTTATATTATTGTTTACTAGTTCTAGCCAAAAAATAGTTGTTGCTATCACTCATTTCAAGATTTTGTTATAATGACAATTATTTACTGATTATAAGCAAATTTATTAGACCTCAAATGGATGGTGTTGGGTAACTGTCAAATTTTCTGTTACAATTATCAAAAGACAGTTGTGGGTTATTTCATGACGTGTAAAATAAATATGTTTCTGTGACAACCAAACTCTCCATTATCCTTGCTTATCATAAGTCATTAATGCGATAAGAAATTTATACTGAGCTACCTCTTAGTTATTAAATTGTAATAGTAAGTCTGTTATATACCGAATACTAGTTCCTATTTTATGTTCTGATAACTGATACCAACTCTTTATACTAATTTTGTTTATTCAGGTAATTACAATGTCCCATTCTCTTCAATATTAATTATTAATTTTTCTTTTTAAAGCTAACTTAGTCTAAATATTGTGTAAGTAAATAATATACTATTAAGGATATCCAACAATCCTAAGAAGGTAATAACACTGTTAACTCTCAGCATGCATCTCCTATTTAACTCTGATCTTTGTTAAAATTAGACAATTAAATGTTCTTATTTTGTTTTTAAAATGTTATTTACTTTGTACAAAGAATAATATGTTGTGATTTAAACTTAATGCTATGTATGGGTCTTAATTGTTTAGAATTAATGTTAGTTAATTCCATATTTTGACTATTGAATTTTTTCAAAATTGCTTTTGAATTTTTTTCAATAAGAATTTCTTTTGAGTTTTTACCCATCTACATATGAAATATGTAGTATGAGAAAATATTGCGATTGTGAAAATGTTATCAATAAAAAACACATTTTAAGATCCCTTGAGTCCTAATAATCAAGTGTCACAAATTGGTATATGTGTGTGTCTAGGTACATTTTAGATTAAAAATGAAAAGTTTTTCAAAACAGAAATACTTATTTACGTTCGGTATCTCTCGTATACTACATTTTTAGGATCAAAATTGACTTACTAGAAGTACCACTTAATATAACCATTTTACATTTATTTTTACAAATCTTAGTAAATGACCCTTACTAATTTTGATAAAAATCAATGTAAAATTAGATGGTCTTCTGTATTAGCTAGGTACTATTTGTATTGAAGTAAGCTGAGAGGGCTTACATGTTGAATTTTCAAAATATCTTCTCCTCAAGTACCTGTAATTTGGCTTATTTGAAGAGAGGTTTACCAGAGATCACGTCGTTCACAATTACCGAAATAATTAACAATCTTTAATTTTTGTTGTAATAACAGATGAATAAGTATAAACTAAAATATAAAAGAATTTGATAATTAATGAAAGGAAAAATATTTTTCCATGTTGAAAACATATCTACGGAAATAAGAGCAACATATTTATAGAATATAGTATATCAGGTTGTAGAAAGCAGAGAAGAGTTAAGAAAAACTGATGACTAATAATATTTGAAAACTAATTTCATTTCATGAAGACTAAATGTTCCCTTAAAAACTTAAATAAAATTTTCAACCCAAATTAAACTTTTTAAATTTATTTTTAAGCTTCATAAATTGAGCGGGATCTTGGTAAAATCACCTCCTTGTACAACCGTTGACCAAGAAACAGTGCTTTCTCTAAATAGTACTGAACCTTAGACCCTTCATTAATTGTAGTGGTACAGGTGGTCCCACTACAATCCATGAAGGTGTTTTTTTTTTTTTTTGTTTTTTTGACAAATCGAAGACGAATGTACTGAATTATTGTCCTGAAATTGTTTGAGAACTATTTCTTTGTACTATTGTATCAGAAGGCACGAAGAAATTTTTCCAAACCGTGTTTAAGTGTTGGAAAAATGTAATACTCTTCAATAACTTTAATTTGATCCGATATCAAATATAAACAATTAAATATTAACTAGCTTCATTTTAGCAAAAAATTAATTATTTAAGTAAAATCGTACTGCTACTTTTAGGAGTAACTAGTCCACTGATTGGATCATACAATATATGAATACGGATAGCCCTGTTGGTTACATTGTGGTTGCTCCCATTTACTGACCAGATTTGGAGTGTCAACTTTTTTTTCTTAAATCTTGAAAAGTAAAAATTTGTTATGTATGTTCAATTAATTTAAGTTTAAGTGTGCTCCTTCACAATTCCTGATTAAAAAAAAACAACACATAAACCAAAATTACATTGTACAAAATTGTAAGCCCATTGTTATCTTTTTTAATACTAACAGTTGTAACAGATGGAAAATCAGAATAAAACAAAAGAATGCTTCATTGCTTTTTAAAATTTTAATTACTTATTAAACTTTGAAATATAGGCAATAATTTATGAAAACAGATACTGAAATTTGTATCCATCTTTTCAGCCAAAGCAATCTTCCTGAGCTTAAGATAATTTAAAGTTCCCTTAATCTTTGGAGCCTTGTCTTCTCTCTCTGTCTTGTTTTGGCCTGTCTGTGCTACAGCTCAGACTTGTCTTTCGCATTTGTCAGCATGGATTTTATTGGGTTGGCAAATAAGTCCTTTCCGTTTTTCAGGGTAAAATAAAACTCAATGTATTATAGACATAAAATTTATTTTGATCCACAATATATTGACCATTATTTAATATGACTTTTTCCCATCTTTCCACTAACTGCATAATGCCATGTTCATAGAATATCTGGAGTTTATTGTTAAAAAACTGATCCAAATGGTTTTTGTTGTCCTCTTGCTTTTGAAAATTCTTTCCATTCATGAAGTTCTGAAGAGACCGGAATAAGTGGTAGTCACTTGGAGCTAGGTCTGGTGAATAGGAAAGGTGGGGCAAAAGGTCCCATCCAAGGCTCGATAATTTATTGCGAGTGACCAATGGGGTCTGGGACCTAGTGTTGTCTTGGTAGAACACAACACCCTTCCAATGATTCATAACTCTAGGATGTTCTCCAAATTTGATGTTACTATATCCGTTGGAAAGCTGGATTATTGTTCTTCAAAGCCGTATGAATGGTTTTTTGATTGAATGCCTACATAAGAATGAATAAACAAAAACTCCTCATAGGTTTTTATTTTTTATTTCCATTTGTAGTTTGTTTAGCAAGGTCCTGTATATATCATTGGCCCTAATTCCCGCTAAATTTCTTGTAGATAGCTAAAGTCGTATTGAAGTTATAACATTTTTTGTGATTTTTGCCCCACAAAAAAAAATCTTATGTGGGACCCAAACATTAAGCCTGAAAACTATAGCTTAGCTTTTGCAAATGGTTTTCTACCCTTCTGTGAGAAACATTTAGAGCCATAGCAATCTCTCGCACTGATTGGGTGGGATTTTGATCAGCAATGGCCTTATAACATTGTTCATTTCAATTTCATGTGGGCGACCAGACCGTTGAGCATCATTGATGTCAAAATTTGCTCACTGAAATTTGGCAAACCAATTTTTAATTAATTAATTGGTTAAGGCATCATTCCCATAAACACTGCAAATTTTTTTATGAGCTTCTGCATCACACTTACATCTTTTAAAATAATACAACAAAATATGCCGATAATGAATGATATTTTCTTCCACATCCACAGTGCTATAGCAAACACAATAATAAGCTAGTTTCAACAAGAGTTAACAGATATAGTTGTAGACATTTCACAAACAGGATAAACAATCCACCTTAGGGATTAATTCATTAGATAATAAGTTCATAGTGACATAAAAATAAAAACCGAAAGGACTTATTTGTCAACCCAATATTTTCTTCTCACTATCTCTTTTAAAATGTTCATCATATTTAAAACTTATTTTTTACCCTTGTCTAATAGTTGGTCATAAGTTTAATGGCTGTTTTTGAAAAAAAAAAGTTATAAATTTAAGAAATTATTGTAATAGAGGAAATACGATGAATGCGACATTTGATCTTCAAATATTTAGTTACTAATTACAAGTACAAAGTACAAAAAAAAACAGGAAAACTGAAGATAAATTTCTTGCACTATTGAATGAATTATAACTTGAACTTTTTATTTAATAACAATACATGTACTGGTTTATATTAATATGCTTAATGAAGGGGAACAGAAAATAAAAATACCCACTATTTTATTTTTTTGGAAGAAAATATTAGTCTGCTATTGGCCCAGACACTTGAAACTTGTAGGCTCTATAACTATCTGCTATCCTACATTCTTGCTAAATAATGCTAGACTAGCCTGTAACCACATCTCTGATGATGACCCACCTGCTTGGTTCGAAACTTTGGTCATCATAATAAACCGTATAAAAATTGCAAATCCTGATCATTTGTCTTCCTCATAATTTTAAGTCTACTATGTATCCATCTTTAAATTCTTCCTCTAGTTCATAATCGATGGAACAGATCTCTAGTACTGTCTCACTTTGAATTATATCTCAGGATTTTGAGTTAAATTCATAAGTGCAAAATATCTTGTAATACTGCTGTAATTGTTTGTAAGTATGGTTTTGAAGTCTCCAGACAGAAAATTGATTGATTCATTATTATTATTTCTAATTTTTATTCTAGCTTTGCGGGGTAAGTTTCTGAGGTGGGGGACCAGAAGTGCAGTCATCTTCATATTAATATTTATCATTTTTTTAGATGTTAAAAATTTTCTAACAACACGTGCTGTGTCTAAGAGAACTGAGTGTTGAGCCTCTTTCAGCACATCAAGAGGTTTTTTTTTTTTTTTTTTTTTTTTTTTTTTTTTTTTTTTTTTTTTTTTTTTTTGTTCTTCCCTACCTCGCCGTTTAGGCTATACGGGATTTTCCCGGGCCGGAGGGTGGGGGCGGGGAATTTAAAATCCCCTCTGGCACCGGGATGCGAACTCGTACTTTTCTTGTCTCTCAAATCTTCATATATCTGGTTGCCAGGCGACTCGCGGTGCAGTGCACACGCTTTAGCCTATTCGGCCACCCCGCCCCTAGCACATCAAGAGGTAATTTTAAATCCATCATGCCTGCCATTGTCGGCTTTGGTATCAGTCCATTGGAGAATATTATAATTGGAGTGATGGTGACCCTCCCTATATGGTATAATACCTTCAATTCGATTGCCAGTTCCTGGTATTTTCTCAGTTTTTCTCGAACAGTAGAGCTTATATAATTATCATTGGGGATCCCGACAGCAATAAGCTCTGCTTTTTTCTCTTTCATATTTATCATTAGGATATCTGGTTTATTGTGACACACAGGATGGTCAGTTATAATAGATCCATCTCTGTAGAGCTTGAGGCTACCTTTTTAGAGGAGTTTATTTGGGTGGTACTTATAATATGGAGTTTTGTCATCTAATAAGTTGAGCTTCACCGCCAGACCCTGGTGAAAAAGTTTAGCCGCATTGTTATACCTCTGGAGATACTTGGTCCAAGCTAACACTCCACACCCATCTGTGATATGTGGATTGATTTCAGTATCGCTGAACATAATCAATATTTATCAGTAGTTGTTGCATCTGTTAGAACAAGCCTCTTATGTGATCTAGTTGCAATTACTTAGTCTTGGATGGCGAATAGAAATCCTTCTGTCTCGGAGAATATCTTTACAGCTTTCACCCATTCAACGGATATTTCCTTGTCAATAGAGTTATCATTCAATTTGCTGTAGAATCTTCCATGCAAGGATTTGCTTTTCCATTCTGTCAACCATTCATTTTCTGACACAATTGTTGAGATCTCACGTTTGCTCAGGTTAAGTGCAGTTAGACCATAATCCAACCTTGAGATCGCGAGGTAAACCTCAGTTGTTTTTGTAAGAAAATATCGGCATAGAGCCACTTCCTGCTTGTAGCAAGCTCCTTCAATATTTAGCAAACCACGTCCTCCTTATTTCCTAGGTAAATACAGACGAGTTTTGGAGGACATTGGGTGGTGGGTCAATTCTTGTGTGAGTTGTTCGCACAAGGTGGTCGATCTCCTGTAGACTGGTGTTTGACCAGTGCAATATCCCGAAACTATAATTGAGAGCAGATATTGTCCAGGTGTTACTAGCCTAGATTTTTTGTTTATGAGTAACCTGGGTTTTTAGCACTTTCCATAATCTGATTTTGAATATTGTTAGAAGGTCTTGTTGGATGTCTTTTCTTGCAATTTTAAGGTGTTGCATGCCCAGATATTTATATAATTTATTGTCTTCAAGCTCCTTTCATTGATTAGAATATTCTGCATACTAACCACTTTTCCTTTGGTTACATGGAGCACTGCACATTTATCCAGAGCGAGTGCCGTGCCTATGTCACTAATAAAAGATGAAACAAATTCAACCGTACTTTGTAATTGTTTTTCGCATATAGTTTAAGGTCATCCATGTATCAGCTATGGCTTATTATTATTATTTAGCATTGTCTACATGTTTATTGTAATGTCTACATGTTTTGAATCAAGTTTATAGAACTGTGTCTACATTTATAATATTGTTTTCTTTTTCTATTTTTGTGTGATAATATTATTTAATTCAAAATTGCAGAAAAACCTAAACTTCCTGAGAACTACCAAGAACAAACTTGGGAAAAGTTGTCAGAGGCTGTTATTGCTATTCAAACTTCGAGGTCTATTAAATACAGTTTAGAAGATTTGTATCAAGCCGTGCAAAACATGTGTAACCACAATATGGCTTCCTCTACTTATGAGAGCCTTAAGGGTAGGTAATTCTTCAGAATTTATTATAATTTTTTAAAGTATATTATTTATTATAGATTCCTTATACTTGCCATATCTATTCACATGATTGATATTGTTATTGAACTTCTTACTATCGATGATCAGCTAAATATTGTTGTTTTTCACTTTCCTAGCTAAAATATGTAGAGTTTAATATTTGTTATATATATATTCCTAAATTATATATAATTCCTTCAGTAATACTAAAAATTATATATAATTCCTTCAGTAATACTTGTTTATTAATTTATTAATAATATATATATTTAAATTATATATATATTTAAATTATATATATAATTAACAAGTATTACTGAAGGAAGTTAGTAGACTGTTCTACATCGATATGAACAACATAGATATGTAGATGTTTTCTTTTAAAAACTTCTGTATTTATATGTGTATGGCAAAGCCAAGCCAAGTATATAAATTCAAAATATTGAGAACTTCCGGACCACAGTCTTATAAGTATGTGATACACATATAAAATAACATGCTACACCATATACCTATAAAAATATGAGTGATATCTATGTTTAAAAAGAATAGACAAACTTTGAATTATCTAGGAAAATCTGTGATACGATACACCTTGACTGTGAATATGGTAATATTAAAAATGGATAAAATTAATTTTTTTAACTTGTGAAATAGACTGTTGAATAGTCCCCTATATGAAAAGGAACGGCTTTTATTGTCATATAATTAATTATAACATAATTTCAATTCATTACTGCATTTTTTTAATATTTGATTATAACTTGTGTGATTAACTGAAATTTTTACGTTTCTTATCCTATTTATTGTACTAAATTTCAATAAGTGAATGTTTCAGGTTTAACAGAAAAACATGTAAAAGCAAATATTGACGAATTTACTGGTGATTCAATGGACCGCTTAATTTTCCTTAAGAAAATGAATGATTGTTGGCAGTCACATTGCCGACAAATGATAATGATTCGTAGTATATTTTTGTATTTAGATCGTACTTATGTTTTGCAACGTTCTTCTGTAAACTCTATTTGGTAATATTTTATTTATTAGTTATTTGCTATATATATATATATTTGATTATTTTTAAATTTAAAATGTATTCCTTGTTGTTAATCGTAGGGATATGGGATTAGATTTATTTAGGCACCATATAGTCATGAATAGCTTGGTTCAAACTCGAATAGTAGATGGTCTTCTTATGCTAATTGAAAATGAAAGGCAAGGAGACACTGTTGATAGGACCCTCCTTAAGTCACTCCTCAGAATGTTATCTGATCTTCAAATTTACCGAGATGCTTTTGAGTCAAAGTAAGTTTTTATTATTGAACAGTATGATTTTTTTTTCTCTAAAAAACAATTGTTTTATTATTTTATTGTAATCTGTATGTTTTATTTCTCACAGGTTCCTACAAGCTACTGAAAGATTGTATGGAGCTGAAGGGCAAAAACTTATTCTAGAGTTAGAGGTTCCTGAATACCTTCATCATGTCGATAAGAGAATTAATGAAGAAAATGAACGCCTCTTACACTATTTAGATCCTTCCACCAAGTAAACTAATTTATTTTCTATTTAATACTTATCACTTTATTTCTCAAAAAGAATAGCGTAGCTCAGTGAATTGAAGTGAATGTTTTATCTACATTTTTGGTCATCTGAGTTCTCTGAATTACTCCTCTTTTTCACCAGTAAATTACTCATCATTTAATCAGTGGTCGCCTTGATATGTCTATTAATTAAAGAATAGTGGTTTGGGTTTTGGGTGAGAACCTAGGATTCTTCCTCACTACCAAAAATTAGGAAAAATTTGTGTTAGTGTGAGATTAAAAAGTTTTGTCCTCAGGATCGAAAATTGTCACTCATATTCTGCATTTTAGACATCAAGGAAATAAATTTGGTTTGATATCTATCTGTAGTCAAACCCATTTGACGGGCATATCAGCTGCTACCGTTAATTCCATTCCCATGAAGTTTGTAAAACTTTTATAGGTTAGGAACCCCACTTCAAATTAAACAAATTTCATCTGTTATTTTCGCATAGGCACGCGTAAATGTATTTCTTAGGCATACCTATATTTCCAAAACGGCTTCTATGATTTATCTCCAAATTGGAGGAATGTTGAGGATAAGTGAAAAATGTAGCTTAGCTGTTTCAATTTTATTGAATTTATTCCATGAATTCCTCTCATATTTGCTCAAATGTATTTTCCTTCTTAGATCCATATCTCAAAAAACTGCCCATTATATTTGATCTAAATTTTAAGAATAATTGTGATGCTTGTACCATTTTTATCAAATTCCATTCACTACTTTCAGAAAATAAATTCCAAGCAGATGTTGATTATGTATCTAATTGTTGAGATATGGCTATAATCATATGGAATGAGGGGTTATATATAAATTACAGTTAAGGGGATTAATTTTTTTTTTATATGGTCATAACATCTACTTCAGTTAATTCGATTTGATGAAATTTTCAGGGATAGTGAGCGATGATACCTTGATGATCCAATATCGATTTTAGCAAATACCATAAATTCTTTTGCTTAGGTGTTCATTTATCCTTACAAGACTGTACTTCTAAAACGGCTTCTCGTGCAGATTTTATTCTTGAACAACAAATCATAGATCAGATCTTGTATAGGTAATTGTGCTACCCAATAGAAATTCTGAAGAAGCTATTTTGATTCTACTTGCTCTACTTGCTTTTATTTACATTTTTTATTTATTTGGTTTTTACAATTTTATTTACATGGTTATATTTTTATTTATTTTTGGATCCCTGATTTGATCTGTTTGTTCAGTGTTAAACAATTATTTATTTTATTTTTCTTGGTAAAATTATAAAATTTTATATGGTAAATTTTTAATTTTACTGATTGATTGCTTTCGTTAGGTGGTGTTTAATACATTCTGTGGAAAAACAACTTTTAAGTGAACATCTTGTTACAATTCTTCATAGAGGTTTGGATTCTTTGTTAGAAGAGAACCGAGTTGAAGACTTAACTCTTTTATATAATTTATTTACAAGGGTCAAAAAAGGACTTGTTGAACTATGTGGAATGTTTAATGGTTATATAAAGGTATATTTTAGAAATTAAATCATTATAAGTTGTTGTAGACTTTTTATTTATTTTTACTCTTTGATTTATTTATTTTGCCTGGTTTAGAAAAAAGGAAGGACGATAGTAATTGATCCAGAGAAGGATAAAACAATGGTCCAGGAGCTACTCGATTTTAAAGATAAAATGGATAATATAGTAACAGTTTGTTTTCTAAAAAATGAAAAATTTGGTAATAGTCTTAAAGAAGCTTTTGAACATTTTATTAATCAGCGAACCAATAAGCCTGCAGAACTAATTGGTATTTTAATTTTTTTTTCTATGTTATACATTAACACTCAAGCTTTATTCTTGAAATAATTTAAAGTTAATTTATTTCAGCCAAATTTGTTGATGGAAAACTACGGGCCGGAAACAAGGAAGCCACTGAAGAGGAATTAGAAAGATTGTTAGACAAAATTATGGTCTTGTTTAGATTTATCCATGGAAAAGATGTTTTTGAGGCATTTTATAAAAAGGTTAAAATCCAGATATTTAATTTAAGTAAAACCTCATTATTTTTTAATATGTTATTACTGTTGGAGTGCACAGCACAGCGCGTTGCCCGCCATTCTGATAAACGAAGTTATATATGATAAAAATAATTACAAGCTCAGCACCGGTGGGGAGAAGAGGGAGGGGGGAGCTATCTCTGGCATTAATCCTCTGCCCTCACCCCTTGGACTGGGAAAACCTGGTATAGTCTTAAAGGCGAGGAAGGGAAGAAAGAAAAAAAATGTTGAAGATACAATATTTATATTAAACAGTAGGGGGGTACCCCTTGTCTGCCTAATCATGGACTAATCCCCATTTTACAAATCATACAACTGTTCATTTAATTGTAATACCCGTTGCTCAAATTGTATAATTTAAATTTACATGTATTCTGTAGTCCAAATTATATTAATTTTTGACCAACATAATAAAAAATATTTCCTGTTGTACGAATTTGTAGTCTAAAATCTTCATTTTATATTAGCAGAGTAAGAGATAACAGAAGCTCAACACATGTGTAATTAAATTAACAGCTGTATAATTTGTAAAATAATCGCCGGGCTCCTGTTATCTCCTATTATCCTAAAACTAAAATTAAAGAAATATGAAAGTCTCTAAAAACATTTTTGTATAATAGTGAAACATGTTAATTATTAACTTAATCCTCATCATAAAATGTATCTTTTAATTTAAATATTACCTTAATTGCTTGCACAACTGTGTGTCAACCGTTTTGTTGCCCACCAATCTTACCAAATGTTATAGTGCAATTTAATATTTATAATTATTTAATCTTAATAAAAATATTCATTGTTTTCCCATTAATATTTTTGTTATTATAAGTTTCCAGTATTTATGAAATATTTGTATATTTCCTTTTCTTTTTCATAAAACTCACTTAGAAAAAGTCAATTATCATTAGTTAATAAATGGAATGTTAATTGATTTAGAGATGACCCTTGAACTTGGACAATACAATATATAACCTAGATATAATAATTGGCTATAGTTACATTCAAGAACCAATCATAATACATTACTTTATAATTAGTAGACCTATTTGTCAAAACTAATTTTACTATTTAGATCTTGTTTTCTTTTAATTGTATTTGTTATGGTTTTCTATTTTGATTAACAAATTTTAAGTTTAATTCTTTTGTTAGGATCTCGCCAAAAGATTGCTTGTCGGGAAGTCTGCTAGTGTTGATGCTGAGAAGAGTATGCTGTCAAAACTAAAGCAAGAATGTGGAGGAGGTTTTACATCCAAACTTGAAGGAATGTTCAAAGACATGGAATTAAGTAAAGACATCAATGTGGCATTCAAGCAGGTTATTATGGTCTTTAATGTATATTAAATTAGTTTATTATAAGATTTAAATGATCAATATTAATTACAGTATATGAGCAACTTGAAAAATTCTTCACCATTGGAATTGACTGTCAGTATTCTTACCATGGGATATTGGCCAACGTATCCTGTGATGGAAGTTAATGTGCCTCCAGAAATGGTTCAGTTTCAGAATCATTTTACTCGTTTCTACTTAGGAAAACATAATGGTCGCAAACTTCAGTGGCAACCTACACTAGGTCATTGTGTTTTAAAAGCTGAATTTTCTCAGGTTAGTTGTTATTTTCTATTAGTAATAATAGTTTTTATTTATTCTAGAACAACTTGTTCATAATAATATTATTATTTGTAAATTTAAACTCTATTGTCTTAAAATCAAAATAAGTAAGCTAAAAGAAAAGTGTCTATATTTTTTTTCTTGCAACGGTAATATAAAGAAAAGAACAGGTATACAAAAACATTTACATAAACGTTATAATTGGGTAATGCCTAGTTATTTATGTAACTAACGAATAGTGTGGTATTGTGAATGAGGAATGCTAAGGAACTTTTCAGGAATGAATGGAGTCTTTGAAAATTGCAGGTGTTGTGATTTTTCTTGTGAGAGCAAGTCCCGCTAAGATCTAAAATTTGAGCTATTTTGGTCAAATAAATTCTAAAAGTTTCATTAATATTAATTCTTTCGAGGGGATGGGTATTTGGCTGCATTTAGAGCCAAATTAAAACCAAAGTTCTACTTCAAGAATATCAAGAATTATAGAATTTTACAGCACATATGATATTTTGAAAACAAAAAATATGGGACAAATTAAGATGACTGACTAGGAATCCAAAGGTAAAGAATACCCAGTTTTTGTAATCAAAAATATCTTTAGTAAGAAGACTTATTTTGTTTTAAAATAAGCTGGAGAAATGCATTGATTTTCATAGATAGGTGATGTTACACTAGACCATCAAGTTTTACAATCCTGGAAAGAAGTTGCAATTGATAAAACACAATGAATTGGTATCAGGATCTGTTCAAGAGTTCAACCTGCTGAAACAAAAGAAGCTCAAAAATGTTATGGGGCCTGTTAAATTGAAGTAAATTACCAAGTCAAATGGTATAAGGACATAATTTAATTATAATCTATTTAGAATATTGTGTTGAGCCCCAACAATAAAACAAAAAAAAAAACAAAGAAGAGGGATATGCAACCAACATTAATGATTACAATGAAGCTCTGGAAATTTTCAGTTCAAGATTTTTCGGTAAATAAGTTAAAAATTTGAACAGAAAGCTTGTAATTAAAAAGTATTTTATTAAGTTAAATATTATTTTATTAATTTTTTAATAACAGTTTCATACCTTCATGTCTGAATTTATTGTTACTATTACGGCTACATCCAATTTACTTTTTTAAGTAAACTTTTGATTTAATGTATCACATTCAATTTTAATGACATACTAGTATCAAATTATAAACAAATAACCAGTATGTTATGCATAGTTCAAAAAACTTTATAACTATGCTACTCATTTATTGTCTTACCAACTTATTCTTATTTTAATTTTTTTGCAGGGCAAAAAAGAATTGCAGGTATCACTTTTTCAAGGGCTTGTATTGCTCCTATTTAATGATTGCAATGAAATAAGTTTAGAAGATATTAAGGCTGCGACTAACATTGAGGTACATCATTTCTTTTCTTTATGATCATATTTGTTTATTGTATATCATGTTTGTACAGAAATCTTAGCTTGGTAGAAGTTTCAATATTTGAAGAATTTATTTATTATTATTAAGAAATGTTGTTATAATAATCTTAAAATCTTCACATAAGATTTATACATTTCAGCAAGTTGAATGTATAATCATATGGAAGAGATCATCTTCTTATCCATTTTTTTTTTTTTAAATTGGAATTAATTCAAGCCTTATTTGATGTGATATATGAAAAGAAGCGCTCTTGCTGTGGTAGAGAGATCATATCTTGCTCAAATTTTCTGTCTTTTTTTTTCCCTGCCATTCTTTGAATCCTCACAGTCTATTCTATATTTCCTAATCGATATAAATATTATCATAATCTGTATAGCACTTCATTATAAATTGTGCCTTAAGAGAAACAGGACTAATTAATATTTAATTATATTGGTTATGGAAATTTCAAAATTAATAGAATTAAATAGTGAAGCTGAGGAGTGTGATGTGACAAGCCACAATTTTTAAGAAGATAATATATGTTTAAAATGTTACTTTTTACTTTTATACAGCTAAACATGGTGTTTGTTCGTATACATACCGACATATAAAAAAGCTGTGCAACAAAACATAATATTACTCTAAAGACATTTAAACTATTTATGGTAAAGAAACTGGAACCCCACTTATATGATGGCAAACAATCGGGGGAAAATATTTAAAGTAAGTAAAATACTTAAAGATATTTGTCCAACGAGAAGTTGTTCTAGAGGTACAACCCAAACCTATTCTAACCAGAGTGGGAACGTTGAGATTCATTCTGTGGGTCCGCCATAAAATAAAAGTCAAATCTTCCCAGGCCGGACTTGAACCACCATCGCTAGGTGTGGGAATGTAAAAATGGGAAAATCTTTGTTTATCATGTCATCTTTCTTCAATAACAGGAATGATGTTTTTGCTCATAAAAATAAAACAGCAACAGTAAAAATAATAAAATTATTGCAGCCTCTAATGGCAATTCCCCGCCTTATAAGGCTATAGTTTCTATATTATATAATATAGTTCATAATTACACTGCTTCCTTCAATATAGTGGAGATTCATCTGTATAAATGTGTGTCCACTCCTCATGTGGTCAGAGATGAAGGATCATTGTAGAGAATCAAGTTTGAGGAGTTGTCTTCTCAAGGGAGACAATTTGGTTTTTGGTAAGTTCTAAATTTGGAATAAGCTTTCTGCATAAAGTTTTCCATTCATTGTTAAAAGAAGCTAAGTCAAGGAGTCTAATACCACATATATTTACCTATATTTTAAGCCAATTCAATATTCTTAACATTTAATGTAAATGAAATTATCTTCAAAATAATTTTGTTGGGAATTTGAGTTAATGATTTAACAAAGTTTGGAAATTAGATTATTTGGATGTTCTTTATGATACTTTTTTTTAGGATGGTGAACTGAGGCGGACATTACAGTCATTAGCTTGTGGAAAAGCAAGAGTTCTTACTAAAAATCCAAAAGGAAGGGATGTAGAAGATGGCGACAGATTTAATTTTAATTCTGAGTTTACAAACAAGCTTTTCCGAATCAAGATTAATCAAATTCAAATGAAAGAAACGGTAAGCTCCTCCACTCCTGTAAATTATAACAAAACATATTACTTGCCCTGTTCATGCATTTCATTGAATTATAATCATAAGATTCTTAATATTATTTTTATTTAATTTATAGAATGAAGAGCAGAAAGCGACTGAAGAAAGAGTATTCCAAGATAGGCAGTATCAAATAGATGCAGCAATTGTCCGAATCATGAAAATGCGCAAAACTTTAAGTCATAACCTTCTCATAAGTGAATTGTATAATCAGTTGAAATTCCCAGTTAAAGTAAGTATTCAAAGTGAATTTTGTGATTTGTACTGCCAAGTCTCAATTGTTCTAAATTATCTAATATTAAAAGTTGATTGTGCACCATACAAGGAAGATTTTAATAAGTTACACAGTATGAATGATAATACAGTTATGTAATGGCAGAGGGTGTGCAAAGTTGACTCATCAATAACAAGTTTGTGAGCTTTATAATTCTATTAAATTCTGCAAGTCTAGGCTATAGCTGAAATACATACACAACTAGAGTCCGTCTAAGATATGTTTGCAGGTTGGTAGAGAGGGCAGAGATGACAAAATATTTTCCCGCCAATCCCCCACTCTTTTTTATTCTCTCTACTCTTTCGTACGTACTTCTGCAATTTTTTTTTACTAGTAGAAATTTTATTTACCCTTTTTTTTTCATTTCTTTTACGAAATTAAAATTTAAAAGAAAATATCTGATCGAAAAATGCATTCCTGGTAGGAGGTGATTACAATGGCAAGCAGCGGAGGTGGAGCTTGAGGAGAAAAAGGCTGCATGAGCTCCCTTTCCCTTCATGCAAACTTATCTTAGAGGCACTATACTTGTGAATATGTATTTTAGCTTCAACTTGTGAATGCTGGAGTACATACTTCAACTTAAGTAGTATCTTATCATAAAAGCTGTTGATATTAATAAGTCAATTTCTTGTATTACGGCTCCCAGATTATTAATTAATTTCATAAAAAAATATCTTAAAGAGAATAGAATTATGAAATAAACTCTTGATTTTCATTGCTTGTTTGATGATTATATGTTCCATCTGTGTAAGGGGCCGAAGGTTTTTTTTTCTATTAATAATTGTTAAATAAGCATTTTAATTAATGGTTTTTCTTGACTGATTTCTAAATTTTTTTACTTTTTATTTGCTTCCTATTGATTTTTATTCTACCTTATTTTTGGATCTTATTAGTATTTATTTTAAACCTTAGCAGGGAATATCTATGGTTTACTGGGAACAGCCCCTTCAACAGCGTATCGCAGAAAAAAGTCATTTCGTGGCATTTCATAACCTTACATCACTAAGTATTTTGATGAATTTTCCTTATGTAACATTCTTGAAAGTTCAGCCCCTATCCAAATTGTACTTTTGACAGGCTTTATTCAAAAAGCTAATTTATATTTTATTGTTTGGTTGATTCCAAATGTTACTGGCATGACACTTACTGTTGTGTAATTTCCAGTAAATTTAAATTAATTTTTACTCTGAGTTTGTAAAAAAAAAAGTCTTATTGGTGATTGTGTTTATTTCTGTTAAGGTTCAAGCAGCTCATCTTAGTCTCGATTTCCTCCTTAAACATCAAAGTTATGTAAACTTCACTTTAATATTCGAACTTAAATTAGTTTTGTTCTGACAAGAAAAATATTGGTCTCGCTAACTCCATCCATTTTACTGTATTTAGTATATATCGCTACTGTTATTGCAAAAAGTCGTGTGTAAAATTTTTTTTTTGTTTTATTCTATTTGTGTTTAATATGACATTTTGTAGTCTGCAACTGATATAGGTCGTTTGCTGCTAGCAGAAGGCAATAAAATATGAAATTAAACTGATAAATCATAAAGAAATAATTAGTTTTTATGTTCTCATTTTAAACACTCAATTTTTACATACAACATTTTACACTAACAATAGCAGTATGCATGGTCATTTTGTACTGGGATATTTTTTTTTTTTAATAACGAATCATCAAATATGAAATTCTTTCGTATTTTAGTATTTGCTGATGAACTAAGCTCGTGGATATCTAACCCGCGAATGTTGAGGAATTACTGTTTTTCTGAAAACGGCTTCTCCCAGAGATTCTATTCTCATACCAAAAGTTATAGGCCGTGAAATATAGAACAAACCAATGAAAGCAGTGAGGAAGCTATACTGAGACTTTACTTGCCACTTTTTTTTTTTTTTTGTTCTTTGATAACTTTTGTAATTTTTCTAATGAAATTTTAAAAAAGCACATCACCACTTTTTTAGAACAAAATATCAATAAAATTGAATTACCCTAGTTTATGAAAGAGATGATATAAAAATAATTATTACATTGGTACAAATATTCGCCTGTGAAGTAACGGGATGAAACACTTCGTTTCAAGGAATATCTTTCTTTGTTGCAGTTAATATTCTAAGAAACTTTCCTTCGAAGCAACAGATTAAATTTAAAATTATATTATTGGTATCTATAGAGTAAGAATTATAAGTTCGACCTATTGGCTAAGATCAGTGTTTTAGAATTACAAACATGAAATTTTATCATATCTAAATTAAATTGTTTCTAATAAATTAATTTTAGTCTTTATTATATTTTGTTAATTTAATTTTGATTTTTAGCCCGCAGATTTAAAGAAAAGGATAGAATCACTGATAGATAGAGATTATATGGAACGTGACAAAGACAACCCTAATCAGTACAACTATATGGCGTAGTGATATATTACGAGAGATGGTCTCAGTGTGTACAGTGATCTTAATATATACATATATATATATTATTAATTTTTAAAGCTGTTTCGTCTAACGAACCATAGATTTTTCACTATGTTATCAGCATCGAGGAGCGGACACCGATGTTTATATTGTAATGATATCTTGTGATTGTATAAAGAAATATTGTCGTAAGGGGTTTTCCTCTGGTGTGAAGGACTGTTTTTAGTTTAATGAATTTATCATGTGAATTTTTTTTATTTAAAAACAACTGTTAAAATTGTGAATATATGATATGTAGGATTATATATTGTAAATATTGATAAATTTAGTAGGTAAATTCCTAATAATTGTTTATTATGAACCTGATTTTAATCAGTGTAAGCTTCTGTTTTCTATTTAAAAACAAAATTACAACTGAAATCCCCTATAAAGCTGCACCTAAATTCATTCTTCCAATGTAGTGATTTTTCACTTATTTAATGCATACGTAAATTTGTTCTTTATATTTTCAATTATCATCCTCATATTAAATGAATATTAAATCTTGAAAGTACATTTCAGTATTAATTTTCTTCATATATAAAGCAGCTTGTGTTGTCTATGTTTCTTCAAAAATGTGTTGTTACCAAATTTTGAAAGTGGAAGTTATTTTTAGGTATTATTGAGGTTTTATTTTATTTTATTATCTAAATTTCTAAGATAGTTTATCAGTCAAATAAGCTGTTTTCAGTGCCCTATCATCTTGCAAATGCTTAAATTAGATGCTTAAATTTTGATTTGTTTATATTTTTAATGTGTGAAAAAATATGAACACAAAATATTTACAAAAAAAGAAAGATAAAAATACCTCTTGTTGTAAAAGTTCACACATCCTTTATTGTTTTCTATTTTAAGTCGTTTTGAAGGGTTGAAGAAAATTTATAAGACCCGGTACAAAAACTACCCAATATTTAATTAAATTTTTCAAACATATTCCTTCTTCTGTGATATGTTATTAGAAGCAATGAGTAGCTTAAGCATCTAAGATATAATTTTTTTTTTCTTTTCCATAAATTTAGAATTTTCTATCCTATCGTTTAATTTTCAAGTGTTGTCTGACTGAATTTAAGGGGGAAAATCTGAAATAAAAAAGGAAGATATCTGTTTGCTACATATTCCTAATTATTATGAATCAGGTTAACAAAAAGTAGTCTTAGAAAAACATGAATATTTTCCTGCTGTTATTAATTTTTAGCATATACATAATTTAAAATATATTTTCTAAAATTTTACAACTGTATTGATAATTTGTACTCCTTGATATATTATTATTTTATTACATTGTTATAAAATATACAACAGCAAAAGAAACACATTATAGAATGATGTTTTTACTGTTATGGCATTATTAACACATTGATGAAGTCTTACAAGTTTTATTTTTAAGATATTTTCTAAATAAATTTTGAAAGGCATTGAAAAAATTTTGGCTAAAAAGTTGTTACTTAACATTTTTTCTGATATAAGCTACTCAAAAATGAATAGGAATATTGTTAGTTATGTATAATTTGTTTTCCCTAGAATTTTTATTATATATTTTTTTTTAAATTAACACAAATAAGATTGTATTTGACCTTATACAGGGAAATCATATAAAAAGTATTTTAAAAAACAAAAAATTAAAGGGTTTTTGTGATCTTTTTATGGTAGCGAATTATAAGAATTTTGCAAAATTAATATGTGTAATATCCACTGTTATGCTATACCTCTCTGTACCTGGGAATACTATTTATAATGCCACTGATTTCAAAAGGAATTTCATCCCATAAATATGGTAATAATACTCCCAATTGATGAAGGTTAAGAGGCCACGGTTGGTGGACAAAAGTCTTCTCTGCAGTTCATCCCACATATGCTCAATCTGATTGAGATCTGGACCTGATGTGAAATTCTGAGATTTTCAAGACGTTGAACAACTTTTCACCCAGGCTGCGTATTGTCAAGAAAACAGAAATCTGGTTTGAGGGATGCAGTGAGATTACTGTCCACAATACGGAGTAGAGCCCATCCTGAGTGGATTTCGGCTTATACCACACTCCCATCTCCAGACAGTATTCAGGTCGTGATGGAGCATTGCTCATTGTTGCACTCTTGTTTGTGCCTAGTGACGCCAGTTTGAATCCAGCTTGAGAAGAGTTGACTTTTGTGTGGCAGGTCCACAGAATGGAACTCTACCTTCCCACCCTGGTCGTAGAATAGGTTTGGTCGTACCTCTAGAACACCCTCCCTCCTCCCACTGCATGCCAGAAATAGTGAGTAGGGAGATGTTAGTAGGTCTAGACCTACTTTCCACAAATGATTAGTGTTGATACAGAGTTTGGCAGAGCATTACACAATTTATTTACTATATCGGGCACAATGAAAAAGATTGCTTGTTTCTGTAATAACAATATTGGTATTGTATTGCGCTGAGATACTCTAACAGGTCTCGTATTAGTGATATTCACTTGCCGGTCCATTGATAGCCCATTCTCATGATAATATTATAAACTTCTGGTTCAATATGATGTCTTTCCATCGTTAAACAGAATATTACTGGATTGACATTTAAGAAGAGAAAAATCTAATACAACTTGGTTTGCTATTGAGCATATACTTGGAGTATTCTTCATGTTGGTTATCCTTCAGTTAATAATTTATTGAAATTAAAAAATACTTGTTTACTTTTTATATTTACCAACAAATAAGATATTCCATTACAAAAAAAAAATTAAAAGATCCTATGTGGTCCGCACATCACACAACTTTCACTTACCACCCTTTTTTTTATAAGAATTTTCAAAGGGAAGTGAAAGTAAAAATTGTAGACGGCATTAAATATTACTTAAAACAATTAATCACCATATATTTTTCATAGCCCTTTAATTTTTTTTTTAAGGAGTTTCCACTAATAGTGGGTTTCCTTAACCTAAACCTTGGATGGCTTCTTTCCATAATATCCTATCTAAAGTCCATTCTTCCCGTAGACCATGACCCACCCATCATGGATTCCTCCACTTCGTTATTCCAGGTCTTCCTCGTCTTCTTCTTTCCCTAGTTTTCCATAAGTGGACTTCTTTGGGTAGTCTTCCTTCATGCATTTTATCTCAATCTCTTACAGAATGCTTCCTTTAGCCTCCATCTTTTCTCTGATGGTCGTATTTCTGACTATCCATTCTGGATATTCCCGCCGCTCGTCTCCAGTAGTCCATTTTGGTGGCTAGAAGTTTCTTCCTGAGGGTGCTCGTACATACATAGCCATCTAATGTATTATATTTATAAGGAATTGGTTGGGTTGAGTAGTCACAAGTAAAAATAAATAAATATATTTATTTTTTTTATTTGTGACTGCTCACTCCAATCAATTATCCATGACAGCAACTATTAATCCATAATCATTATATTTATGTGTTTTTGTCACTAACCATTTCCTTTTAATTAGTAAATTTTAATTATTTATTTGATTATAATAAATAAGTGAAATGAAATATTTTTAGTTCGACAAGAGTGGCACTGATAAAGAAAACTTCTATCTATTCATACTTCTTAGCAGGTATTTTTATCTGTTTAAGCTTTGGTATTTATGCATGTATATGTTTAAATCGATGTAATATTGTCTGAGCCCATATTATATTAAGCACGTATTACGTGTGGAAGCTTGTTCCAACTTTTCGGCTGAGCTGGGGTTTCTTATCTTCTCTATTACTACTGTTCTCTGTTACGACTCCTTATTTTCTTCTTTAGTAAATTGTCAAATGTGAAATGCTTAATTTTTGAAAATTAGCCATTTAAGCCCTCTTAAAGAAAATCAATGATAATAAACCTAAATTATATTAAAAACTGCTAATTTTACACTGATATAATGAATAATTGATATCACAATTGTTAGAGCCGTTTTCAATATAATCATTATATAAAGTGCCACTTTCGGTTAGCCCATTTTGATGAAAAAGTTGCTGTGACATCCCATGGGTATACAAATCTTAAATATGCATTTTCACTGTCATACAACTTTACGTTTTTGAGCTTAAATGTTCATATACACACACACACACAGACCATTTTGTGGGACTTGGTTATTTGGACTCAAGAGACTTCAGAACATTTATTTCCAGGATCGCAATACTTTTCCTTACTATATAATTCATATCTACAGTTGCGGTCATAGAAATTGCATCATCTATTTCTTTTGATTTTTATATTGATAACACTGATTCAATTTAATGCTTTTGTTTATCTTTACTTATTAAGGCTTCAAGAAAACTTAAACAATGTTTCTCAGTTGAGTTTTAACTAGGCTGAATGCACCAGTTATGGACTTTAAAGGTTCCAGTTTTTTCTAGATTGAAGAAAAATGCCATTTTTTGACAACTATATGAAAAGTTTCCTAAAGAAGATTTTAGAATGCGTATCATTGTTGTTTCTATAGTGTTTTTGAGATCATTTCAAAACTGGCAAAGAAATATCTGGAGATCTTACAGATAGCAATCGGGTTAAATAAAATGAAATTTAATAAATATTTTACTGGGTAATGCAATTTTTATGACCGTGACTGTAGGTAAGTGAAAATAAAAATTAAAAAAACAACTAAATAGGAAGTCTCCAACTTAGGGGTGTAATAAACTAAGCACTCATTAATTCATTGAGACTATAAATAGATATGAACACTAATGATTAGTGAAGAAAAACTAAACCAAATAATATAATTTAATTTATTTACAATATATTTAAAACATCAATAATGCTGATCTACTATTTAAAATTTTCACTTAAGCCATTTTAATAAATAGAATAAATATACGTACAAAATTGACAGGTTAAATTTAATTTTAAAAATAAAATAATATGTCTGACGAAACAATCCTTTTAATTATAACAATCAAATTTTTAAATAATTAAAAAATTAAAGGATTTAAATAGAATTACACTATAGGGCAGTCTTCCAAATTATTGATAATAGCTGAAGCCATCAACTGAGGAGTGACTGGAATCTTGAGCATATCCTGTAAAAGTTCCTTCGGTGGCTTTCCTCCTCCGTGTGCGAGGCATTCCCTACGGTATCTTTCTCCCTCAATTCTACTCAACGGATCTTTTGAGAACATAGTTTGCCATATTGATGACGCGACAGCTTTGCTCATTAAATAAGAATAATACTTGGCTCCATATCCAACTAGATGAGAAAATCTCAGCTGCCATGCCTGGAGAAACATTTTTATAATTAATTATAATTCACATAATCGATATTTGTAATTTGAAATATTTTGAAAGCGACATAAAAATTTGCATGGAAGTTTAATTTTGATATATGATAAGACCAAAATATAAATGATCATCAGGAGAAGATAAGTATTATTTTCTCCTATGTACGTTAATTTTTTTAATGTGAAAAATAGAATTTATGAAAACACTTTATTATAATGAATTTATATTTTCAATTGTTTCAAAAGGAAACAGGCTGATTGTGCTGAATGAAGCTAAAAAAAAAAAAAGAAATTAAATAAAAAAATCTTTACACAACAATATTACTATAAAGATTAAAAAGTGACGAGAACTGTTCTTTAATTATGAAAATATGATAAATTTCATACTGTATCTGGAACGTAGTGCAGTTCACAATGCTCATTCTGCAGAGCTGCTAATACTTCAGTTGTTGTTCCATTAAGAGGGTATTCCCCATGGTACACTTGATCAAGCAAAGAGTAGAATATTTGAACTTGGATTTCACTGGGTTGAAATATATGTTTTGCCTGACACATTCTCAGAAGCATATCTTCAGGCATTGGCTCTCCAGTTTTGTAATGTTTTGCAAATGTACGGACTACCTGTAATATAATTTAAAAAAATAACTTAATATAGTATTCAATTACTGATGTCTAAGCTGAATAGATATTTTTAATAATACATTTTATTAAAATATGTAAAATACAAAATTGTATGTACTGCGTTTTATATAGTTTTTATTGAGGAGAGCATTATTTTGCTCAAAGAAGGGATTAAGTTGAAAATGAATAATTCTTTTCAGAGATTTATATAAATTTTATAGGATGGAAATGAGACTAAAGTAAATGTTAAGGAAGAAGACATCTTGTCCAGCAAATGAATAAGTGTCTTTTCCATGTTGTAAGAAAAACTGTGACAGATTCTTCACACACTGTCTTAAATTTAATGATATCACAAACCCTAGAGGAGTAAGTAATACGAATTGAGTAAATTCAACTTGAATCAAAATAAAGAAGAAAATATTAATTAAGCTTTTCAAACTCCTTCCACTCCACAATCAGTACAGTGATGACAAGAAATCATACCCTTGGATCAGATGCGAAATATTCCATTAAAACTGAAGGGACTTCAGCAAAGTCAGTAGTACAGCGTGTGCCGGATACATGTTGATATTGGGTACGAGCTAACATAGAATGCATTGCATGCCCCATTTCATGGAACAAGTTGTCCACCATAGAAGGAGAAAGGAGGCACGGGGTTGTCCATCTTGGCAGAGGCAAATTCAACATCACAACTACAATAGGATTCTAAAAAAAATAATAAAATAAAAATTGTTCTTCTAATAAAATAATAATAATAAATTAAATAAAATTCTAAATGTTTCTTCTCTACTCTTTCTTAATATGAATAACACACCATTGTTTTTTAATATTTTAATTAAGTGGAATAATTTTGTAATCGACCAAGAAATAAAAGTTACCCCTCCCTTCCTCAAAATTTCCGTCCGTCCGCGGCTTTTCTCCAAGACTATTGCACCCATCATTTTGAAATTTGGTATCAATGTCAAAGGGCATATGAGGATGATCCTCGGTACTCAGCATTACCATCCATCCTTTCCTTTCAAGATGGCGGCTGAAAAACCTTAACTGTATACATTGTAACGCTTATACAATTATACTGATTTCAATGAAACTTTGCTTAAGACTTTTTCCTTCGAAGCCTTTAAATTTTTCTATATAACATACTTTACTGAAAAGAAGTTGGAGAAAAAGTTATGAGGGGTTGTAAAAATAGATTCCAGAATAACGCAATAGGATAAAATTTTTCGTGGATATTGTACATGCTATTTTAAAGTTTACACAATTTTCTAAAACACAAAAAGAATCATTTGTATCAATCTAGTGGAAAGATATGTAGTTCTAAGTATTCTCACATGTTCTGCTTTAAAGCTGATATCCTTTGTCTTTTTGTAAAGTCTTACATCAACTGAAGCAATTGAGATTTCTGTCTATATTTCTTAGCAAATTACAATGACGAAAAAAAAAATATTTGGGCCATTTCAAATCACCTTTTATTTATTTTCCTGTGACAAGGAAAGTAGTGTTACATTTGATATGTAACTACTTTGAAATAATAAACCATTGTGTAATATTTTATTAGGTTTAAAGAAGTACCATGGGGAATATTTTCTGAAATTACATTTCAATACTGCTATAATTATTTTATTTAATTTAAACATTAAGTTGTTTTTATCTTCTTCTAAACATTCAATCATTTAAAATGAAAATTATCATTCTAGGTTACAAAAGTGATTCAGAGAATCTCACTACCATCGATTGGTACTGCAATTGCTTCTTCTTAAACGAGGCTAATTTCGATTGCTTTGTGAAATAATTTATTGTTAAATTATTTCACATTCTTACATAACATAAACTAATTATCCTTTTTGACAAATAACATTAACATTTTTTTTTAATGAGGCTTTTAATTGAATTTATAAAAATTTTATTCAATATAAGAAGTTTTTTTTCTAATACAAATTTAAGATTCCTAAAACATATCGATAAATATTAATACATTTTTTTGTATAATTTTCATTCGGTGCCTGTTTATGTGAGCCGAATTTCACAATATTATGTCTTTAAGTAAGATCTGATTAATATCTAATAAATTTAATAATTTATTGATAACTATAACAAATTATTACTAAATATAATCCTTACTGGAGGCCTTGTATTTAATAAATACAAATATAACTGACACTTATTGATATAAAAATATAACCTTGATACTGACATCCTTCTCCATAGAGCTCACTAACTGACCCAATGATCAATTAGAACTGAACGAACTCATTTTATAATTGGTATCTTCAACTATCATTTAACTGACTGTAAAGGAATGTAACTCTTAAATGAACTAATCCAACTGCTGATTGCCAGCCAGTCATCTTTTATACAGTATAGTATAGTCCAAAGGTTTGATGAGGCAATTCTGTCGTATCTCATTTGTAAAAAAATCAGCATTAAGTTTAAATGTTATAAAAGGTTTAATCTCTACGTTAAGAAATACTAAAAAAAAAAAGAATGATTCCAGTCAAGAAATCTATATAATAAAAATATTAGCCACTTACTTTAAGTTAGGATTTATGTACTTTTTTTTTATTACCCTCTACATCGCCATTTCTGGGACACTGGAAGGAGGCAGTTGTGTTAAATGTTCAATCAACCCTATTCTAACCCAAGTGGGAGCGTCGAGATTCATTTTGTGTATCAAAATAAACGCCCAGGCCAGACTCGAACCAGCACCGCTAGACCGCTAGGCTCAAAAATGTCAAAGTGAACTGTGGGAAAACTTGGAGCCAAATATAAAAAAAAACAGCGATAATGTGCTTAAGTGCCTCAATAGCTAGGAATGGAGTTTGTGAATTCTGTCTATGCTATCATAACAGGAGATTTGAGTGTAATTTTAAACCTTTTTTCCGGGAGGAAATTAGTCCCATGTTACATAGTACATAGTCACATATTTTCAGATAGTATAATGATAATAAAACCTGGTATGAGCCATCAGCTAATCTTCTGCCTCCCTGAACTGTGAAGTGACAATCTTGATTTGGTTTATTGGATCTCTCATAAAAATCACAATAAATGTTGCCTAGAAAGCCTTCTTTCTCATGAACCACTAAAATTGGATATTGCTTATTAAAATATACAATAATAAAACAAAAAAAAAATGTTTTAAAATTAATATTAACCGGCTAGTTTGTAGATGTCAGAATCCCATGTTTCACCTGGCTCAACAGTCTCATTTATTAATGAAATCCCATATAAACTTTGAAGAAGGTTGTTCAAACCCTCCATACAACTTCCTAAAGGAAAATAAGCAGTATACTCTGAAGTCTTCAACCAGCCTTTTTTTGCTACATTAGTTACATAAGGAACATCCCACAAAGCAAGAGGCTAAAATTAAAAAATATATATATTGAAAATAAAAATATAGATAAAAGAGCTAGTTAAATAAAGAAATAAATATGTACCTTACAGAGAGGATCTTCTCCTTTTTTAATCTGAAACATTTTTTCATAGTCTGAACGCACTTTCGGACGGATTTTTTCATTTATTTCGACCAAAAAATTCCACACATTGCTAGGATTTTCAGCTAAACTTGATTTTAAAGCTCTAAAACAGTTTGAGGGGTGTTTTATATAAACACATTACATATATGTGTGTGCATGTGTATATATATATATATATATATATATATATATATATATATATAATATATATATATATATATATATATATATATAGAGAGAGAGAGAGAGAGAGAGAGAGAGAGAGAGAGAGAGAGGAGGAACTAAAATGATAATTTATAGAAAGAATGATATACCAACTTATGTGAGTATGTTGGGAATCCACAAAGCTGAGCTAAACGGAACCTTGAAGCTAGAATATGATCTAGTAGTTGTTCTTGACTAGGGTCTGGAGATAAAAAAACTTTATAAGCTATTTCACGAGCACTTTCTATGCTATCGCCAAATAAACCATTTACTACAGCATTATTTCCATCTGTATTAAATCTAAAAAAAAAAAAAAGGAAATATATACATAATATGAAAATATAACTTGGAATAAAAAATTATTTAGTTAAATATGAATTTTTAAGATGTGAAGCTATAAAAATACTATATTCTAACCATGCACAAGTAGCATTTATTTGATTAGATTATCTTTATTGTAAATCAAAAGAATGGCCACGTGGGCACTCACTATCTAAGTTCAACCGATTTTCTTCAACAGAGGCTCTAGTCTGACTTGTATGCATGAGCATCATAGTTTCCAGTGAAATTTTAAGGATTCTTTAAAAAAATAAATAAATGTTAAAATAAATAGAGTAAATTAAAAAGCATTATTTATTTTAAATTATATCATTAACTAATTTTCACTTTGACACTTCTTAAATCACATTAGTATTTTAAGAACTTATTCTTTGCTTAGTTTCTTTTTTTTTTTTAATCCAGAAACATACAGTGTTACAGAAGATTTTCAGGTACGATGAATTGAGACAGGTCTAACAATAGTAAAATGTCTAAGCAGTTATCAGTTTTAATTTGCTGTAAATTTGTTGATATGGTTAAAAGGAATTTCCAATTCCACAGAACAAAACTTTTTTATTTCAAACTAACTTTTTTGAGAGTCCACTATTTTCTAGTGGGGGGGCACTGTTTATGCAAATACTGTCCGATTTCAGATTAAGCATCAAGTTTATGTACCTTTTTTGAATTCTTAGATATACAGATCTACTATTTTCTACTCGTTAGAGCTTTTTTTGAATATACAGTCAGATTTAAAATTGTTCACCGAACGTTTGTAAAGTTTTGGATATAAGAATCCACTATTAAGTTGTCAAGAATGCTTTTTATGAAAATAATGTCAGATTAAAGATTGCGCAAGAAAAGTGGACAATATTAATGAATAAAATGTATCTATTAATTATATAGTATAGTATTAGTTATATAGATAAATATTTATTCCAATAATGTCCAATCCCAAAGGGACCCGTAGATCTGCCAGTTAGTTGGACTATACTTATATTATATATTAACTTCTTTTTTTTTTCTTTCTTATTATTGAAATTTATAACTGTATTAAATGATAAATGCAACAAGTAAATATAAAACAAGTAACATGGCATATACTACATGAAGAGAAACTACCCATTGGTAGCACTTCAATTATATTTCGATATAACAAGATCCCAAGGCCTGTAAAACAAGTAACAGGGCATATACTACATGAAGAGAAACTACCCATTGGTAGCACTCCAATTATATTTCAATATAACAAGATCCCGAGGCCATCTTCTTTTCAGACGCCTCGGAGGGTTATCAGGAATATAAGAGGAAGCAAGGTTGGAAACAAGAGGGTTCGGATGGTTCAGAAGTTTATTATGGAAGGATAGGTATCTGAATTGAGCTAAATCGGAAACATATGGTACATTAAGGTCGTTATGGTTGATTTTATTTGTGATAAAGCAGGGAGCATTAAGGATTTTGGATTGGATATGAGAGGAATTTGATGGTTTAGTAGAGCCCCAAAGCTCGATCTCGTGAGTCCAAATAGGCCATATTATAGTAACATATATGAGTCTTTTGTAAATAGTTGGAAGTTTAGAGCATTTGTCTGCAATAGTCGAAAGCGTCGGGCTGTTTCTAGTCGTTTCAATCTGGTATGAGGGTTCCAGGTGGTGAGTCGTTTGTCCAGGTGGAGTCATAGGTATCGGATTTGTTCAACAGGGATAAGTGGGGTATTGTTGAAGGATACTGTAGGACAGGAAGTCATAGGTTTACGATGAAGAGTAAAAGTAATTTGATGAGATTGATTAGAATTAATTTTAATCCTCCAGTTTTGACACCATTTTTCAAGACTTGTGATGTGTGATTGAAGAGTTTGGGATGCAACAGATGGATTGTTGTTAACTGATAGGATACAAGTGTCATCGGCATAGGTGGTGATAACAGTGTTGAAAATACTGTTAACTTAAAATTTATTTTCTCGTTTTAATTGCTATTATCTTTATTGAATGAATTAGCAGCATAATTATTGTTATTCATAGTTATTTTTCTTAGTAATCCGAAAATGGGGACTTATTGTAGTCACTATTTAAAAAAAAAATTGTGCTTATATTCGAATAAGGAATTAAGGTATTGAGGAAAAAACTGATGAAGAATATCTGATAATTCCGAGATAATGAATAATGGAAATCATGAATAAGAAAAATAATATCGTGAAATAGCATTAAAAAATATAATAATTAAACATTTTTATCTATGACTATTTCTTTTCTACAACTATATAATATATGTCTGGTTCGATTAAGGTTACAGGATGTAGCCTAAATTTTTAATATAAGTCGGCTCCTACTGTAAAACTAAACATGGTTAAGGTTATACAAGTACTTAAATGGTGGGAAAGTTAACAGTAATGGACTCAAGAGATCGGTTGCCTTTGATCTTTTTCAGATAAACCCAAACACATTCAGCACTTCATGAACAAGTGTGACCGAAGTGATTGTGAAACACACCTAATCCGTGCAGAGCTCATGTGAACTAATACCAGATTGAATATTAGAGAATGAAGTTGAATTTAAATAATAATTCTACTCACAAGTGTCTAAGATTTGATGGAATCAAGTCTTTACTGACTTCTCGACTAGTATTGGCGCCAGCCATAAATCTCTGACCCAACTGAAGAATAAAATCATTTAGAGCAACAACTTCTTGGCGTTTGTCTTCAGATAAATGAATTCCACTCTGCTCAAAGTCAAATAAGAAAAGTGATGAAACATGATTGTCAACAGAGTTTGTTGGAACAATATCTCCTTTCTCAAGTACATTCTTTACTGACAGATAAAGGTCTTTATTAGTATTAAGCCTGAAAAATATATACAATTTAAAACATAAAAGAATTAATTTTAATCAACATAAATAATGCAATTCTAAAGCAAATCTTTAGATGCATAAAACAAAATATTCCAGGAAAATGAAGAAAGTAACAAGATAATACCCATATCCCAAGATTCACAGTAGGGAGAATAAATGAATACACAACAAAGAAACTTGCTTTTCAACTTCATAACTGATCGTTATGCAGGCTTCTTCTGCAGCACTTGTAAACTTCTGGTCAGGATGAGCTATTCTCACAAATTCAGCCAAATCTGCTACACTACATAGAGTATTGGACAGTTCATCAAAAACATTAACCATTTTCCGTGACCTAAAAGAAATTGAACAGGAAAATAATGCTAACATTAAATGCTATCCATATATTCATAGATGAAATGTACAAAATTCAAACCTGTGAGGGCTAAGTGCTTCACTTACAAGTTCACTTGATGCATTTATCACATTTTCCTTCATGAGATAAAAACCATCATAGGATCTTAATTCTTTCAGGCCAAATAGTCCCTACAAACATTCCAAGCCTATTAATTTATCATATGAATGAAGGCAATCACAATAAAAATATATTGATAACAGCTTAAGTATACCTTATTCTCTTTTGAAAAACTGATATTTAGTTTTTGTCCAGGGCGTGTATTGAATGCAGTTGCTAAAGGGGACCATGTACTAACATATCGGTATCCTTTAGAAAATGCCAAGTTTAATTTACTTGCATTATTTGTTACAGGAAAAGCCATCTTTGCATGTAAAAGAATTAAAGAACACTAGAGGATAAAAAAGTATGAGATTAATACGTAAACGTCATAGAGGAAAAAAAATCTAACAGTGATATATAAATATATTCTAAGACGATTTTAAAAATCATAACTGTTGTCAACTGAGAACACTCAGGAATTGAATCTAGCGATTAAACATTTTAACCAGCAAGTAACCTTCCTTGAGGATAACTTGATATTTGACATTTTGAAGTCGTTTTTGAATAAATATCGGTTTCATAAAATAAAGTTTGAAATCAAACAAAACATAAACAAGAGATTTAAAATTAACTATAAAAATAAATAAATTAATTGGAACTATCCTGCAGTTATTCTAGTGCGTATTGTATTTTATTTATTTATGCTAACCCTTTTGAGAATCACTTTTGTGACCATGGCAAAACAAGTAGGGGCACTAGGAATTAGAAGCAGGGGGTTTTTATTTCTGTAACCAAAATGTAAATACTATTTTAATAAAATTGTTTTGTTTTGGTATTATTTATTCTTTATATTTTAGTTTGTAAAAACCAAACTAAACGTATTTATCAACGATGTCTTCCAAAAGGTATGTTTAGTAACCTGCTACAATGTATTGTTATTAACAATAATAAACTTTGATGTTTGCCTTTACTATTGGTTACTAATTGAAAAACTTATTAGTGATTTATAAGTTACATCTACTGTTGGTATTCCCGTACTTATATGGATAATATACCATTTATCTTTATTGAGTGAATACTTGTTACTATTGTACTAACCATTTTTCTCAATTATGATATGAAATTGAATTGAAATTAATAAAGACCATAATACTTAATTGTGTTTTATCAGCCATCTTTGCCATTTGCTATTTTCCCTTCCTTGTCAAAATGTTATCATTTTCAAGATATTAAATGGTACACAGTATCCTGTTTGTATTTTCATTCTTCTGACTTTTAGAATTTGGGAATGTTTTTACACAATACTTTGGTCCTTACTATTTTCTATAGTAGATTTTTATGTTTTGATTATGTACTGCTTCACGATTTGACATTTAACCAGTGACCAGCTATCACCATTTAAGCTATGAATCCGTACTTTTACTTACTCATTTTTATATATTTTAGGTTTCCTAGAATTATGCTTAATAAAAAGTGCACTAATTAAAAATTGCACAATTTCATTGTAATCACTTCATTTTTTTTTACTCAGCCTTATTATTTAATGGTTTAACAAAATGGATTTATAAGTAGTTTCTTTATAATCGTGGATTGATGGTTGACTGTAATGAATAATTGAAGATTATTTGGGAGATTAAGTAAAAAAAATAAATTATAGTTAATTAAATATAATGTATTTATTTTGCCTTTTTTTTTTAATTGCACAGTCCGATCAATCTTCTCTTCGACTGTTTTCTTTATAGTCTTATTGGAAGCCTTTTTACTATTCATGTTAATAACAAAATTTTCAATTTCTCTGACACTTAAATAAAAATTTCAGAATAAAAAAATATATATATTTTTATATATTATGCTTAGATGTCCATATTACTTAACTTTCAAAAAAGAAAAAAATCCTTTCTCTATAGATTTATAAACTTTCTTCTTTTTGGAATTCATAACTAACAATTTGATGATAGGGAACAAGCACATATTTAAAAAAATAAAGAAATATATATGTATGTGTGTGGACAATTGTATATGAGGTCATTATTGACGAGCGTATAAATTTTATGTAATTCATGCTTTTGAAGTTAATCCTAATGAAAAGACTGAAATGTGTGATCAAGTCTGAAAAAATGGATTGCTATATGACGAAGATGGACTGCATGTCAACAATTGCATAAAAGTAAATCTAACAAAGTGTTAACCAGTAAATTAACTCTCTCTGCTTGATTACTTTAATAATTCTCACATGATTAATGTTTCTTCTGGTCGTTTAAGTTAAATTCCAGGCCTTGTGGAGCAGCTTTTCAATTTTTATTTTTAAAAAGTTTACTTCAGGTGATTTAGATTTCATTTTTTGGCTGATAATCGTTTGGTCACTGTTGTGGATTCTGATTGGGATTCATGTTATAAAACAAAGTAATGAGGTATATTTGAATTCCCCAAAAATAATTTAGATCAAATGAGATAATATAAAGTATCCTACTTTATTTAAGGTATAAAGAAAACTGATGTATTCAGAGCTATAGGATTAGTTATTAGATTTGATCACCTGATAACTGAGTTTGATAAGTTATTAATCGTTCTATTTATTTATTTTTTTCTTAATGCTGGTCGCCTTTATGTCTGGTTTGTCTGCTTTTATCAATAACGTGATAAGACTATCTTTATGAATATGATAATAATTTCAAGTGGCTCATGAATAAAAGGATATATAAATTGTCTTTTTTGCATTTATTTACAAAGATTAAACATTTAAAGAAGCCTTATCAAGAATTATCAAAACATTCAAATTAATTATTTAATAAAGAAATGAGCAGTATATTATTTAACTAATAAAGTATCTATTATAAATAATGCATATTTATAAATTAAGAATGAGTTCTTTTAATTTAGAAAAAATATATATTATTTAGGAGAACCTATCCTTATTGATATAAAAATAATTTTTCGTTTTTAAGCAAGTGAATCTTCCGTTGTACACTGAATTAGTAGTTTTGTTTTTTTGGATAAGAAATAATTTATGACTATCCTTTTTAGTATAAAAATAATTTGTAATATCCAAGCGAAGAATTTTTTGTTTTGGACAAAAATTTTTTTTCGGTGAAAAAATGAACCAACGAAGAAAGGTAAAAAAAATAAGAACTACTGAAGTATTAATTTATTTAAAATATAAGCAAATATTTTACTTGTTAAAAAAGCAAATATTAATCAGCTCATATTTTAATTTAGAAATGTTTAACCATTATTAATTTTTAGTTCTTTAACTGTATCTTCTCTACAAGTTATATTTACTTTGGAAGAATATTCATTCCTCTTTTAGAAACCCCTAATACCTACCAAAAATTAATTACTATTGAAGTTATGATTAATTTTATAATAAAAAAGAACATACTATTTGTTTGAAAAATTGGACACAATATATTTTCTCTTGATCATTTTTATGTAAAGCTTTAAGTTGAAGCTGAAGTCGGATATTGTTTTATTTTTGTGAATGTTACTAAAATAATCAAGTACTTTAAATTCTGTCTTCTTCGGAGAGAGGAGGTAATAATTTAAATATGTTCTGCTTTTTTGATACCCGTGATTATAAAATTAAATTAGATATTGATGAGTGGGAAGGAAATAAATCAAAATCAAACACTGCTGTCATACACAGTTGTGATTTACTATTTAATGTTGCTTGATCACCTCACCTGTGCGTGACAAGCACCCATACTTGAGGTCGTGATGGCCAAGTGTGTTAAAGCATAAACTTTTACGTAAACTCGAATCTGGCATGGGCAGGTTAAAATTTATTTCTTGGAGGCCCCACAGAATGAATCTTGACCTTCCTATTATTGTTAGAATAGGTTTGGTTATACCTCTAAAAACAACTTTCAAAGTATGAAGAAACAAAAAATTATGAATTATTGAATTTATGGGTAAAAAAGTATTTTTTATCTAATCGAAGAGAACATTGGTTGGGGTGATCAGAAAAAAGAAAAGAAAAATCCACAATTTCATCTAATCAATTCAAAATTAAAACACACTATGGATGCAATCTTAACTTAATAGCTCCCTTTGATGATAGTTAACTTACACCTTTTCCTGACCACATTTATTCATTATTAATAATATTTATAACATATTTTTTTAGAAATTAATCAATAATCATTATTTTAATAGTAATTTTGATATTGCAGTGAGTTGAAGAAGTTATCTGAAGAAAGTTTGACGAGACAACCTGAGGAGGTTTTTGATATTATTTGCAAACTTGGTGAAGGGTTAGTATTATTTTTTCTGTCATTAAAATATTATGGCGTTATCAAGTTATGTTGATAATTGATAGATATTATTTTTATGAAGAAACCAAGTTCTCATTTGTATTAAACTGCTTATTTAATGATATAAACATTCCATATAATTATCTGATACATTTTGTTGTTTTTGATTCCAATTTTCTATTCTTCATCATTGTCTTACTAAACTGTTTCAGCTCATATGGAAGTGTATATAAGGCATTGCACAAGGAATCTGGGCAAGTTTTAGCTATCAAGCAGGTTCCTGTTGATACAGATCTTCAAGAAATAATTAAAGAGATTTCGATAATGCAACAATGTGATAGCCCATATGTTGTGAAGTACTATGGATCTTACTTTAAAAATACTGATCTCTGGGTAATTAAGTTATTTTTTACTTAAGTACTTTCATGAAGAGGGATTTTATCTTTTCTTAAGTTAAGGATTTTGAAATGATTATCAGATTGTATCCATATCCATCCATGTTTTGTTCTTATGGTTTTTACATACTTTTTTCATGAAATACCTTCCAAAAATTTTATATTAGTTCAAGCATTTCTCACCAAATGGAATCGGATTCACTTTCAAAAACTCCTATGAGCTATTAAGGTGCAAAAATAGTATCTTAAATAATAGCTGTTTTTTCCAGTACTTAATAATGAAAAAAATGTTTATGATCATAGGTATATAGCAAGCCAAGTATTATTGAATGCACAGCGAAATTGAAACCAGCTTCAGAAAAATTTATTTCTATGTGAAGTTGAAGTTTTATTATGTAAAATATGTTCAAATATGGGTCACATACCTAACTTGTTGACCCAAGCATCTGCTTGGGTGATCTCTTAATATAAAAATTCGTCTAGAATAGAAATATATATTTGACTAACTGTTCACCTGATTTAAATTATTTTTTCAAAGAAAACAATTCATTAATTGATCAAGTTGGTACTCCAAAACTCAATCTGATATCCTTTATTCAGGGTAGCCAGTGATCTTAAATTTCATGAAGATTGGGAATATTTAGTTTCTAGTAATAGTAATTCCTTTAGGACTGGGTCACACGTTTATAAAATATTAAGGAAAGGATTTGTCTTGTAGCTGTTCTACTTACAATGATTAATTCTAAAGAAGCTATAAAAAGCCTTCTTCCACTAGTTTGATCCATCAGTCCATCAGTAAGTTTTCTTGTTTGCTCCTTGCCCTAGAGGCCGACTATGGAGTGACTAGAGTGAGGGGGTTGCCAGGATTCATTATTTCCATAGACAGGAAGAGAACCTAAATTATTCATGTTCATTCTCTGATTATTCAAGTTTGAATTGTAATTGTATTGAATCCAAAAAATTGATTGATTTTTTTTAAGTTCATAGTTTGTTGTTTTTTTTTACATTAAGGCTTACATGTATTTGGAGTTTAAATTCTAAATGTGTCAGATTTTATTTATATATATGTTTATTTTACTGCTGGTAGAAATTAAATTTAAAAGCAATGAAATTTGAAATCTTAGAAAAACAAATTAATTGAGCATACTTCTTGGCTTCTGTCTGTGCAGTCCTCAGGTTAAGCATATATTACAATCATTCTCGTAACATTTTAATGTTTCTGCCAGATAGTTCATATTGTATATCTAATAATGTTAGAATTTATATATCTCTATGAACGATGTCCCCACTATAATAATAAATAATGCTTTATTTATTCTGGGACAAGTCTCTTTAGAATAATGTACAGAGATAGAAATGTACGCACGCTTTGGAGCCTCAGAGAATAATTACAAAATAAACTGATTTATATAATGAATAAATAAGAAAAGAAAAAAAAAGAAAAGAATATTATTTATCTTCAATCTTCAATTAAAAAAAATAAATAAATGAAATGAAATATTTAAAACAAACTAATTATTTATATACATATTTACAATTTTATGAGAACTGAACGGATAAGAGGTGATTGGACAGGTGAGATTTAAAGGTGGGGAGGGTATTGGAGCGACGGATGTAGGATGGGATTGAATTTCATAAGGATGTGGTTCGAATAATGAAAGATCTGTCGAAAGCAGCGGTTCGGTGGGATCTTGTTTACATACCTGAAGAGCGGGAATGGAAAGAGGATTTGAACTGAAGGACCTTGGAGATGTATGAAGGACGACAGGATTGGATGTCTTGGAAGAGGAAGGATGCTACGAAATACTTACGTCAGTAGGAAGGATAAAGTCATTTCAGCTCATCATAATAATGGGAAATATGCATCCATTGGGATCCAGAAGATGAATCGTACAAGGCAATTTATCAAACGTTCTAGTTTCGCCTCGAGATCCCTAGAGACACCCCCACATATCGTACAGCAATAGTTGAAGTGAGGAAATATTAAGCAGTTTATGGGTTTCAAACGGAAATAGGTGGCAGAGGTAATTTAGTCGTTTTAAAATGGAAAAGGCACGGCAGAAAATATCGGATACATGGTGTTTCCAGGAAAGGTTTTAATCAAAGGTTATTCCAAGGTTTTTAATGGTGGGATGGAATTTGATGGGATTATCATTTAGAAACAGGATCGGTGTAAAAAGTTTACATGTTTATTCTAGATATTCATCCTTTTTAAAAATGAACTAATCAATTTAGTAATCGCCAGTTCGTAATTGTGATTAATTTGACAAAGAAAGTAAAACTTAACTTCAACCATCTAGTGAAATTGTTATGATAACTACTATTTCTTTTTTGCAGATTGTGATGGAATATTGTGGGGCAGGTTCTGTCTCAGACATCATGCGGCTTAGGAAGAAAACTCTTACGGAGGATGAAATTGCTACCATTCTTTGTGATACTCTTAAAGGCCTGGAATACTTACATTTAAGAAGGAAAATTCATAGGGACATCAAGGCTGGAAATATCCTTCTGAATACGGAAGGCCATGCCAAACTTGCAGATTTCGGTGTTGCTGGACAGTTGACAGTGAGAATCAATCTTTTAAGCCCACTTGATAAATAAAGATAGCTAATTAATGTTTTGAGTTTTTAAATACTGTTTAACAATGAATTATAAGTTCTACCTTTGAATATGATTATAAGGTCTTCTGAGGGAATAATTTTATGACAATAAATCAACAAATTGATGTAAATAATTATCCTTATAAATTTATTTTCATCTGGTTGTGTTCATTGTTTTGAATATATCAGCTTTATCATTTTGAAATAGACTTTTTTTTTCAAGAATAGGTATGGTACCGAAAAGTATATTTAGTTAAAGATAATGTAGTGCATATTTATCATGTGTTCACTTGAATGTAAGAAACTCTCTGATAGTGAGGCATATGTTTCTGTACACACTGTATACACTGCAGTAGCCACTTGTGAGTACAACTTCAGAGTGGAAAACTCATATGGAAATGTAGTTTTATGTTAGGTTCTTCTATTAGATAGATTCACACAACACTCATAATATCCTGTTTAAATTTCTCCTATGATCACTGGTTAATTCCTTAACTTAACTATAACGTTTTCACTTGTGTTTTTATTTTAATAAAAATATATTTAATAACTGGAATTTTTGTTATGAATGGAATTATTTAATCTTTAGAGATGGTATTCGGCTGCTGAATTATAAGGATGAAACAAAATTATCAGGAATTTCAGTCAAAATTTGTTTAATGGGTTTGGTGTTGTTTCGATCCAAACTTGTGAAGCATCAACAGGGCTATCATTTAGAAGTCGAGACAAGACACAAGAGGTCTAATGATGACCCATATATTTGGGTCGAAACTTCGGCTAATCTATTAAAGAACTTTTACTTGAAATTCCTGACAATTTTGTTTCATGCTTGAAATTATCTGATAAATCATCACCATTACTTTTCAAAATTAATTCCTTATCAGTATCTAGTAATTACAAGTAATATAAACTTCACTATATCTGTTGACTAATAATATGCATTACTTGGTAACGTCCTGATTAAACCAGTCAAGGTCTCTTAAGGATACAAGGAAAAAATAGAATTAAATAATGTTTTTGTTTTCAAAAACCTAAAAGTCAAAACTGATGTTCTTTAGATACATCATTTATGTATATATTCCATTCATCTTTCTCTTAGAAAGAGTGGAAGTTTACAGTTATTTGAAAATTTGTTCAATGAAAAGTGATAATAATCTAAAAAATTGATCGAAACAACTTTTTTTGGAAGGGGGATTATTAACAGTCTTTAATATTGTGTAAAAAGCCGTTATAAACAATTTTCACTGCTGTAACATTTAAAACTTACTTGATTATGCTCCTTGTGTACATTCAAGATATGAGCCAATGAGTGTAGTATGGGTCTTACATGCTGATGATCTTATTAAAGATTAATTAAGTGGTAAAGGGTTGTAATGGGTTGCGTAGGGTCCCAGATAGTAAAAGGCCCTGAAGAGCTCTTGAGAATCAAAATATCTCAACTTAAATATTTTGGAAATGACTGAAAAGGTTAGTTTTTAAAAAACCTCTTAAAATAATTGTATAAAGTTAGATAAAAAGATTTAATTTTATCATTTAAGTTGAAATTTGTTTTTTTAGAGGTGCCCAAAATCATTATCGCTCAGGGTCTCCTCAAGCCTTGATCTGCCCCTGATTAATGAATAGATTTGTGGTGCATATCAGGATATGCAGTAGTCAAGACTATTTTTCATCCTTATAATTTCAACTGTCAACTATATCTCCATCTATGCATTATAATTATTATCTTTTTATGTATTTGTTTTTATAATTTTGCTTCCTCATTACCGAAGGTAGGGAAGCATTGTATTCGTGCGAGAGGTTAAAGAAAATTTTGTACTCAGAATCCAAAATTTCCACTCGTGTTTTATGTTTCAGACATCAAGGATCAAATTTGGTTTGGTGTCTGTCTGTAGTCAAATCGATGTAATGGGCATATCACCTGATAACGTTAATCAGATTTTCATGAAATGTTCTGCGATTGTGCGGGTTGGTGCCTAGATCGTCTCATATCAATTTTATCTAATTCTATCCATCACTTCCGCTTACGGAAGCACAAATGTATTTTGTTAGATATGCCAGTATTTCAGAAACAGCTCATTGGATTTGGCACAAAGTAGAATAAAAGTTGCATATTGGTAAAGAAATAATGTAATCTCAATTTTATTGAATACTGTCTCTTACTTGCTCTTATATATAAGCAAATGTGTTTTCCTTGATACATCTATATCTTTAAAACTGCACGTTCGATTTGACCCTAACTTGGAGAAAATTTGGAGAATAGTATGGAAACTATCTAGTTTCAATTTCATTGAATTCCATTTATTAATTAAAATAATTGTTGATAATGTAATGGCTGTGAAGTGTGGAAGGAATTGATCATATGGAGTGGGAGTTAGATTAAGACAATATTTTTATGGAGTTATAAATTTTTTTTTATTTTATTCAAAAAGTTAATTTATAATGTATTGCTTAGTCGATTCCAAATGTTATTGGCATGAGACCCACTGCCGTTACTTAGATTTCGTGTAATTTTCATGTCGAATTTTCAGTAAATTTAAATCAATTTTTACCTGGATTTTTTATTCACGAATTATCAAATATGTAATCTGCAAATGCAGAACTCTTTCACATTTTAGTATTCGTTAATATCAAACATGTATATGTTTAGGGATTTCTGTATTTCCAAAAACGGCTTCTCCCAGAGATTTGATTCTCATATGAAATATTTTATACTTTGTAATATAGATATTTTTTAACCAATGAAAATGGTGAGGAAGCTATGGTCAGTACCTTGCTTGTCAGACGTTTTTGGGATACATTGACTGCCAAGTACATAAATGTAATTTTTAGGAGGATCAGACATTTCACTAATATAATTATAGTGAGCCGTCATATAAATTCATACACCACTTTATAAAATTTTTAAAACTTCACAAAAGGTTAATACAAAATGTCTTATTTCATTGTTTATGACATCCTTATAATTTGTGACATTTCAAACTTAAATCATAGTGGAAACATATATTTGACTTATGTATGATTATAATTTCATCAGGGGTGAAGAATCTATTAATTTCTATTAAAGTTGAGTTGTGTTGTTAGATTCCCATATGATGAAAAGTTATATAAGTACCCAGTTATACGTAAACAATAATTTAATAATTTTTAAGGATACTATGGCCAAGCGTAACACTGTCATTGGAACGCCTTTCTGGATGGCTCCTGAAGTGATTCAAGAAATTGGGTATGACTGTGTCGCAGATATGTGGAGCCTTGGCAAGTTTATGTTTTATTTATACCAATAATGAAAATGTATCTTATCTGGTTTATTGATTATGTTACGTTATTTTATAACACTTATTATTCAATATTAAAATGAAATTTTATGTTGTCATACATAGGTATAACAGCTCTTGAGATGGCTGAAGGGAAACCACCTTATGGTGATATTCATCCTATGCGGGCTATATTTATGATACCAACAAAACCACCTCCTTCGTTCAGGGAACCTGATCAGTGGAGCCCTGAATTCATAGATTTTGTCTCAAGGTGTCTTGTCAAGAACCCAGAAGAGAGGGCGACAGCTAGTGAAATGTTGCAGCATGAATTCATAGGTGTTTATATTATACATGATATTTTTTTATATCAAGAAATTTATGTTAGTTTCTATTAACATATTTTCTTACTATTATTTTAATCTTATTCTTAACAATATATAACATACATTATGATATAATAGTTATTATATGGGGTTAACATCCTTTTTATTCCAATGTATTACTTCAGGAAGAATTCTAAAGGTTATCCCAACCTATTCTAGCCAGAGTGAGAAGGTCCAAGATTCATGTAATATTGGATGGATACATACGTTCGTTCGGTTTTTGAAGGGTTAAATAAAACAAGTTTTTATCATACAAAGAATAAATTTTATTCAATAATGTATTTGCCCTTATTAATGACCTCTTGCCACCTTTCTAACAATTTCACTATTTTGCTCTCATAAAACATCTGGGGCTTAGAAGCAAAAAACTGATCGAGATACGTTTTCACATCTTTCTCAAACAATTTCCTGTTGGCGGGTCTGTAGAATACGGTGGGTGTAATAAAACATCCCAGCCAAGTTGCACTTTTGTTATTGAAACTTTTATTACATAGAATTAACATTCGTTGCTATAGTTCAACATCACTATAGCAAAGCCGTGCCAAGTACCAAGTAACTGTAAAAAAAAAAAAAAAAATTATAAAACCCAAAGAAAATCGTACCAAATGTTATTCCGATAATTCATTATCAAAATACGAAATCAAGTCAAATTCAAAGTAAACTGTAGAGAAAAAATAAAAACAAAACCCAAGGATGTTGGTACTTGTTAAGTTAAATGTTATCTGAATAATTCAATATACAAAGCTGGATCGAATTTCAAGTTTATGATAATCACCCAACCAATTTAATAAATTATATTAAAACAGTAAATCAGTAATTAAAGTCAATATCAATAATCAAAGCCTATTCAAATCCAAAAGTTCCAAATATTCTCGGTTTCTATCAAGGTTTAGTTCCTTACAGTTTAACCGTTTGTAGTATACTGAGAATGATTGAGATAGGGGCAAAAAACGAAAGGAGAATGGGGGAAGTAACAGAGTGGGGTGAGACTGACCAAATATAAAAAAAGTGTTCTGTTGCTTCGGTCTTTTCATAACAATCGAGTTATAACAATTCAATAGAATAAAACTTGTTTCTAAATTTAATTATTTCCAGTTGATTCCAAGTTAATTTCAATTAATTTAAAATATATTGTAAGCTTTAGATTAAACAAAACCGTTAATCATTTCTTTTCATCCATTCAAATGTTTACTGGTGGAAAAAAAATTTAATTTATATTCCATTGTCGTTTTCCAATACCTAGTACATTACAATCACATAATTTAAAAAAAAAAATGAATTCTTTTATGTATTTAGATTTTGTTTATGTCTATTATAAATTATTTGAATATAAACAGTTATTTATTAATCAATTTAATTCAAGATTTAAAAACTAAGTAAAATATTGAATTAAAGTTGAAAATCTGTATGTGAAACAAATTTTTACTTCATTGACTGTTGATGAATATGATAGTAGAGCTAATGAGTGAACAATTTTAGTCAATATTTGGTCATGTATTATTTCTGTGAAATGGGTAGTGAACCAGGTGAATGCGACTCAGCAAAACAGCGTGACTTGGGTGCTCAAGTGTGGGAGGATGTTGGATTTTTCCTGGTAGAGTAGGGTGAAGTATTTACCTCTTCTGTAAATGTTACACTTAGGGTAAAACTTTTTTCTTTTTTTTTTTTTTTAAGCGGCCATTCCATGTATATAATCCAGAAAAAAAATTTGACTATATTTATTTGACTTAGCGAGCTGCAATGCGTAGACACTTAAGCGGAAGTCCGGGATTTCGGTTTTTTCCCACTGGGTTCTGAACCGGGATCTCCAGACAAATTATTCAAGAATTCATAACTTTGGTTCCACTCAATATTTTGTTTTCATTTAAAGCCTATATTTTCAGTCAAGTAAACCTAAATATATTTTTTTTTTTTTTTTATTGATGATATTTACAACTGTATTACAAGTAAAAATACATTCAGTAAATGTGAACAAAAGAATATAATAGCATGAAATCACTTGTTGAGAAACTACCTACTGGTAGCACTCTAAAAATGTATTTACAAAAGGAGATCTCGAGGCCATCTTCTTTTCAGATGTCTCGGAGGATTGTCAGGGATCGAAAAGGAAGCAAGGTTAGAAACGAGAGGGTTAGGATGGTTCTGAAGTTTGTTATGGAAGGATAGGTATCTGGATTGGGCCAGGTCAGAAACATAAGGAACATTAAGGTTGTTATGGATGATTTTGTTTGTGACAAAGTAAGGAGCTGTGAGGATTTTATGAAGGATTTTGGATTGTAAGGATTGTATATGAGAGGAATTCGATAGCTTAGTGGAGCCCCAGAGCTCAATTCCGTAAGTCCAAATAGGTCTTATTGTTGTCATGAATATGAGTCTTTTGTAATTGACTGGGAGCTTAGAACGTTTGTCTAGTAAGTGCTGGAGTAGTTGTAAACGTCGAGCTGTTTCTTGTCATTTCAGTCTTGTATGAGGATTCCAAGTTAGACGTTTGTCTAAGTGGAGTCCAAGGTATCGAATTTGTTCAACAGCGATAAGTGGGGTATTATTAAAGGATACTGTAGGACAAGAGGACATAGGTTTACGACGAAGGGTAAAGGTGATTTGATGGGATTTATTGGAATTTATTTTGATCCTCCAATTTTGAAACCATTCTTCAAGGTTTGTGATGTGTGATTGAAGGGTTTGGGATGCAATTGTTGGGTCGTTATTAACTGATAGGACACATGTATCATCGGCATACGTGGTAATGACAGTGTTAGGATGGTTTGGGCTGTATAAACTGTGTAAAGGATAGGACCTAGGATACTACCTTGAGCAACACCAGCGGACTGGGAAATAAGGAATGAATAGGCATTATTATGATTTACTTTAAAGGATCTATCAGTTAGATAGGAACGGATAATGAGGAATTATGTAGGGTGTAGGAATTTACGGAGTTTGTAAAGCAAGCAGGGTGCCAGACTCGATCAAAAGCCTGTTCTACATCAAGAAAGACTCCCGTGCAGTACATTCCGTGCTCCAATGCAGAGGAGGCAACATCCACCACACGATGGTATTGCTGGATAGTGGAATGGGATCTGCGGAATCCAAATTGATGATCTGGGATAATGTGATTAGAATCTAGGATGGGGTGCAGGCGTTTTAGGATGAGCTTTTCCAGGATTTTGCCTAGGATGGGTAAACCTAAATATAATGTCAAAATTTCAAAAGTCTACCATTAGCCATTGCTGAACTTATCCCTAACAAAATTTCATTGGACAAAGCAGTCATACAGACAGAAATTTTTTTTTTTAAGTGGATTTGGTGTTTGTAATGTAGGAAACGGAAAGATATCATGAAACGTGTTGATTTTATTAAATAAAAAGACAAAACTTTTATTTTATTTATATAGATATAATTTAAAAATGATATTCAGTATAATTTTTCAATTTTAGAGATAGTTGAATTTATATAAAAATCAAAGAATACTAAGCATGAATAATATTACCGATTCTTGACTTTTCTGGTTAGTGAAAAAGCATTACATTGTTTTTCCTTTTTTTATTGTTTGATTCATTATATTGTTTTTATTTTGATTCATTTATTTGATTTACTACATTGTTTTATTTTATGGAGATTTAAGAGTTACTAATACATTTAAGATTGTTGATCTATTTTACTAATGACATTTACCTTCATATTTAATATCTTTTGGTTTTTATTTTATAGGAAACGCAAGACCTCCAAGTATACTTAGTATAATGATAGCAGAAGCAAGAGAAATTAGAGAAAATCAGAACCTTAGGCATATTGCTGTAAATGTGCTTCATAAACCAACTGTTACCGATTCTGTAAATATTTTATTAATGTTTATTAAAAAAGATATGTTGTTTCATTTATTTATTAAAAAAGATATGTTGTTTCATTTATTTATTAAAAAAGATATGTTGTTTCGTTTATTGAAGCATACTTTGATTGAAATGGAATATTAAAAATTCCTCCTCCCTTTTTTTTTTTTTAAGGAAGAAGAAGGAAACAGCGGGACGCTAGTGAGATATGATGATATTGATAAAACATTAGTTCCTGAGAGAGACGGAGGTAATACACTGAAAGGTGATAAGACACTAGTTAACCGAGGAACAAATAGCTTAGCGGAAAACCTTGGTACCATGGTGATCAACAGTGACACAGAAGATGAGAGCACAATGAAAAGTAAGTTGATTTAGGGTCTGTAAATTATTTATTTTGCAATAATTAAGAAATATTCAACATTTTAAAATAATAAAACTAAATTTTTCATTGCTTCAAAAATGCATTTTTCAAACGTGAAAGCTGAACTTTTTTTTCTTTCCGTAATGTGCTTGGAGCTGTCACAAAAAGTTGCTCTTGTATGATAATATTAGTTGAAATTTGTCAAGTAAGAATGAGAAGAGTAATCAGTGGTTACTCCACAGTTCATGATAATCAGCTGAAATTGAATAATTAATTTAAAAAATGATTATTAGTTTATAGAACTATGATTTTGAGGAATCAGAATATTCTTCTTACATGGCCCTACGTCCCATGAGAGGCAAGGTCTCTTGTAGCTTTGACCTCCTAGTCATCTCTGTTTTGCACTGCTGCTTTTCAATTCCGAATCCCAAGGATCAAAGCATCTGCTGTTATATGCCATCTATTAGCCACAACTTTGGTCTTCCTCTTCTTATTTTGTCAAAGATTTCTTCCTAGAGCATGTGTTTTGGGACCTGATCTTCAGGCATTATTACAACACGCCTAGTTCATCTGAGTGAGGTGGCTTACTAATACTAAATAATTATTAATAAAGGTCACCACGTCAGCATTCCCATAAACTTTTATTTATTAGACGTTAGTCCACTGTCTCTAGACTCTATTTAGATAGATAGATAGATAGAAAAAAAACTTTATTCTGGGACTAAGTCCCTTCAGAATAACAATAATGTACAAAATAATAGAATATTACTGGCCTGAACGTTGAAACAATAAATAAAATTGATAAAATAAAATAAAAAGTAAAGAAAACCTTAGGTGCACAAGCTATATACAATACAGATAAAACTATGTACAGAGCATTTAAAATTATGAACAAAACAATTAGAACTATGAACGAATCACTTGAACTATGAACAAAATTATATTTAAGGGTTGAACAACATAAACATACACTTTGAGAAATGAAGAACGAAAAAGAGATACAATGAGTTCATTTCATAAAAAAAAAAAAAAAAAAAAAAAACTTTACTTGAATATATATATAAAAATAAACAGTTACTTATAATTGAATAAAAAAAAAAAATGTATGTATTGAAATTCCTACGTCGATAGTAGGAAATGCATGTACTATCTCTTACCAAGTGTTATGATTATATGATTGCTACACATTACATATATAATATTAATGGTTAGCTGGTATCAAAAAGGTTTTTGAATGTATACAGGGAAGGGGCATGTCGAATTTTGATCGGGAGGGAATTCCAAAAGTTGACAGAGCGGGCTATAAAGGAATTTTGGAATGAGGCAGATCTATGAGAAGGGATGTATAGGTCAGAGGGTCGGGATCTTGTAGTGAGTGAATGTATTGAGGACTTAAATTGGAGAAGGTTGTAGGCATAAGAAGGACGATGATCGGTAATGATTTGATAAAGGAAAGTGCCAAGGAAATATTGTCTTCTTAAGGAGGGGAAGAGCCACCCTAACTCAGTGTAGTGGTGGGAGACACGGGAGCGTCTCGGGGTTCCAATTACAAATCTTACGAAGCAATTCATAAGTCTTTTGAGTCTATCACGCAGTTCCACCGAGAGGCCATCGTACACCACACAGCTGTAGTCAAAGTGGGGAAAGATTTATTTACACATGTTATCTCAAATATTCTCCTCAGGTTCCGCCTCTCAAATCTTAAAAGACCCTGTTCCTGATTCCTGGTAATAGTCCATCACTCCACTGTATAAGTAATACTGGAATTATTAGTTTCTTATATAGGCGGGCTAGTCCATGGTAGCATTTGTTTGTAGAGATGATGTGTGCAATGTCATTCTGGGAAGTAACTTGTAATCCCAAATAATTAAATTGTTCTCTCTCAAAAGAATATGACCCAATAGTAAGGTTTTCCCAATCAGAACATTAAATTTTATCTATTTTTATTTATTAATTGCTGTTGTGGCCAACATATAATTATTTTTTATTTTTTTGTCACCATATCATAATATGAGGGGTTAATTTTATTTTGTTATAAATGACATAGATTATTTATTTCATTTAATTTTTTGTTCCATATCATTATATGGTAAACCCGTTATTTGTATGTAATTACACATAATTAAATATTTCGTACTCTACAAGATGTCCCAGCGACGATGTTCGAACACTTCTGGCACAGATCGCCTCTCGTCGTGTCACATAATACCAGCGATGCAAAATGAAAACATTACGAGCAAGTATGCTGGTTGCACTACGTTAGGAACTGCCTCCATGAGGTTCTTAGTCCCGTCACCATTACTCCTGACAAACCCGTGGTTTCATCTCACCAGTTTGTGATGGTGACTTCCCACATCTGGGACATTAGTCTCCTTCACGAGGATTCCCGTCAGCTGCACCACAGTGAACTTAAATCACAAATATGACTGGCCTGCTGCAGGTGATTTTGTTTAATTTAATTAAGATCATTTTAAGGTAAGTGGCGCTCTTTAAAAGACATTAATGACTCCATGGGTCTCCAGTTTTAATAACTAGGATATAAAAACGTTATTTTATTAATTAAGATACCTCACATTGTCAGAAGTGCACTCATAGTATGGTGCCTAGAATTCTAGTCTATAATGTTGAAAATTCCTGATTCAAGACTGGTTTCATCATATTGCTTTTTATTATATAAAAATATTAATTTAAATTTATATAAAGTTTTCTGTACCACGTTTTAATCAATTCGATTATTTTAATAATAAACCAGCCATAGAATATTGTAATATTAATCTCTAACTTTAAGTAAGGCTGTTTTATTTTTTTGTTTAATTATTTAAAGTAAATTCTATTTCCCTCATTTTTTTATTATTATTATTTTGTACTAGGAGTAATGTTTTAATTCATTCATCTATTTTGTATCTTGTATTATTTCATTTATTATTTTTCTCAATATATTGAATTACTGATATTCAACATTTCATTTATCCTCATGGATTTTATAATTTTAACATTTTTTATTTAATTAATTAATTATTAAAGCTCCAGTGCCTCTGGATTAGGTTGTGCAGAATTGGCTGTTCACATTTTGAATGCCCACTGCCGCCACAATTGCTCTATTGCATAATTGAAGCCAGAAAATCAAAATTAACTTTAGTTTGGCAAATTAAAATCATATAAAATAGTTGTTGTTGTGGGAGTTGTAATTAAAAGTAAGAAATTTTTATAGTAGATCAGGATTTTGTTTATTTGCTATGCTAACTTTCAGGGCATGATACTGGGCCTGGCGAATCGGGAAAGAAGTATCGTCCTCTCTTCCTTGATCACTTTGATAAGAAAGAAGCAGAGAGTATTATGGTAAGATTATTTTATTATGTTAATTTTTAAGTATTTTGAAGCTAAAAATTTATTGTTGAATGGCTTAGTAGAGAAAATTTGAGTATAACGTTTATGATTTTTTTATTCTCTTTAAAGAAATTCTTAAGGACCATCAATATGACACAAAAATTACAGTAAGACAGTTTAATAACTTCTAGAATTTGTTATTATTCATTGTAAACATAGTGTTCTTTGCAAGTGTGTTATGGACTGGACCTGAAAATGATTAACTTAAAAAATAATATATGACTAAAAATATATTCCTGTATAGCTCAAATTAACTGAGATTTACAAATTCAGAATCATTATCGATCTCAAAAACATTACATAATAGCGATATATACTCAAATATAAATATGAATCGTCAAACAAATTAATGGTGTGTTGATAGATTTTTCATGATAAATAATTATCTTATCTTGTTTTATAGTAATTAGTTTTTGTATCTAATTATTCTTGAGACTATTTATTAACAAAATGTTCATTGCCAAAAAAGGCAGTTGGTTGTTTTTTTAAATGTTTTTATACCAAAATATGTAAAAGTTAGTTTTATAAATGATCTTATCGTTCTTAGCATTGAAGAGGTTCCTTTGATTTTTTATTTTATGGAAAGGGAGGCTGTTCAATTTTTGTTAAATTTCTTACAAATTTATGTGTTTGATAAAAAATTACAATTTTTTGTATTTGGTCTTCAGTGTTGTAGATTGTTGTATTTAAACTGTGAAATATTTTACAAATTATTATTAATAAACATCAGTTTATAGAAATTGAGTTAAAAATACTCCAGTCTCCAAATAAGATTCCAGGTCTTAAAAATAGATCTGGAATCTTTTCAAACATTTCCTTTATAAAATTCAGGGAATCCCACCAAAGATTTTGGTAGATGTCCTTATCAGAAAACTTTATATATACAGAATGATTGAAAGAAATTAACACAAAAATAAATACATGTATGAAGTAAGAGAGAGAAACACTTTATTTTCATAAAATATAAAATATAAAGGATTGCTGCCCAATTATATTGGGTTGCTATATACACAGCATACTCTTCTATCCTTAAGACAATATATGAACTTATATATAAATATACAGAAGTATTAGTTAATATTAGTAAAATAGAAATATATATATACATTTTTATTATTTTATTTATTTTTATAATTTTTTTTTTTTTTTTTTTCCTTCTTCTCATTGTTCATGCTTTTTTTTTTATTTTTTATTTAACATTAAGTTTCCCTTTCTCTCACTTCTCTCTCTTTCATCTTTTAAAAAAAGGTACAGAAGGACAAAAAAAGTTTTATTCAATTTTCGAATTCTATGTATCATGAAACGTAAAACCTCAAATTTTGAGGAGAGGGAGGTTACATTTTTTTTTTTTTTTTTGGACGATAATAATGGTTTATTATTGAAAATATGAAAATAAATAATCACCATCATTAGTTTAGTTTTTTCCTTTGACTGTAAACGTGAATATTTCTAGTCAGAAACAAAAATGCTTTTCAAGAGTAAGGAGATAGTCTGGGGTGGCGCTCATAAAAAGACTGAAATAGTGAAAACACAATTTTTATTTCAAGCCAACGTTTCGACCCAACTTTTGCAGGTCTTCTTCAGGACTATAACGAATAAAATACAAAAAGATATATATCTGTGAAGAAAGCATTCGAGATTTGTCATTTACAATTATATAAAATGAGTATAATGTCATATATAATGAGTATACCTAGCTGTAGAAGTTAAATATAATAACTTTAATTTTATCTTATCAAAGCAAAGGTAAAATTAATCAAAAGGTATATAAATATTTATATACTGTGAATGTATATATCTATACCCCTTTATGTATATTTAATAATATTGTATGTTTTCATTTCTATTTTTTCCTTTTTTTTTATTTTGTTTCTTAATTGATAATTTTTGTAAACTCATTGTACAGGGAAATGGCCAGTTGAATGCCAAGCACATGAATCCAAACAACAATAATGCTCTACCTGTGCAAATCCCACAGGTAAACATTACTTATATTGCTGAATTCATATGAATGAGTTTTTTCTGCATGCTGATTTGATTTTTTCATTTATGCATGATAAAAATTCACTTGTTTTATTTTATTTTGTTTACAAATTTTATTTTAAATGGTTGGTCTTGTGTCCTTAAAACGTTGATTGTTGAAGAGTCTATTTAAAGTAACAGAATTACATACTTCGTCATTACATAAAGTTAAGCAAATTACAATTTTTACAAATTTTAAAACTATTATAAAATACAGAAATTGGTCATTATTAAATAAAATTTTAATTTTCGTACGGTATAAGTATATGTTTCCCTGTTCGAAAATTGGGTAGTTCAGGATTTCTTTTTCTTTTAGATGTTTCACAAACTAATATAAGTAATGTTAATTTTTACGTAATAATATTATAATTTAATTAATGATCAATTGTTGTTCAATTTTTTTTTTTTTTTTTTTTTTGAAAAGCAAAATGAAAAAAGGGGAGTTGCTAAGTAAAAACTTATATGTATATGAAAACAAACAGGAACAAAAACATTAAAAAAATTAATTTGCTATTAAAATATATATATATATATTCAGAACAACAAAATTCAATGATTTTTTAAAAACCTGTATTTTTTTTAGTGTAAAGTACCAATAAAAGTTGCCGAGTTTTTATGACTATTATTGGCTTTAACAAAGTTGTACTTTAATGATTCATTTCTTAAATTTCTTAATGTCTTTGTATAACTTATTAAAAACCACTATCTCTTCCATTGATGACTTCTGCATGTCAGGCTTATGGCTTGTAACTATAATTTAAAAGAAATGAACAAATTAAAACTTTTTTACTAATATTTATTAAATAGATCAGTTCCCCTTAACAAGTTCTTTACCATTGGCAATAATATTTTACTTCAAGTTATATAACGGAAATTGTTTGCAAATGACAATGTTGTTAGGATGTTAGGCAGCCGCCACAACGTATGGTTGTGCCTCCTCAACAGCAAGCTACCATTGGAGTCTACCATGGGAGCAGCACTCAGTTATCTGAATATCATTCTCATTTTATGGATGGAGATTTTGAATTTGTATGTATATTTTTTATTTAGTTATTTATGATTTTGTTATATTTATTTATTTTTAGTTATAGATCTAGATAATTTGTGGAAGCTTTTAGTTATTAGTTTGTTCTGTATATAAAAGCTTTTGTTTGACATGAAAATAGATTTTATGCTTAAACTAAGTTATAGTGCCTGTTAAATTATTTGTATTGCATTTTTTTTTTTTTATCAATTATTCATGCCTTATTAGAGTTTTATAGTTATTTAATGATTGTCATAATAAAATAGAGAAAGTTTCTCCTGTTTTGGTAAAAGATGGTTGAATATTACCTTGCCAGTTGTAATTCATTGCGATTGATACTACCTTCTTGAACAAAGGTTACAAACAAAACTTTGCATTACAAACAAAAATATCCTGATGAAAAATATTCTGTTCAGTAAATTTGACTTTGAGAAGCTTGATGTCCATAAAGGCGAGAGTACTTTAAATATATATAGAGAAGTTTCATTATCCAGAAACTAGTAAAACTTATATGAGTTTTATTTTCCTCACTGTTATTAGTTTTGGGGAATGATTAAAAGATTAACTAAATTCTTTTATATTCCATCAATAACAACCTCTGGTAGTAAATAGAACCAGAAAATCTTTTGCTTCTGATGAACTATACCTTTCATTGTAATTTTGCCGTAAGAAGAATATGTGAATGGTTCTGTCTTCATTAGTCGAACAGTTCTGTCTAAAACTATGTTTATAACCAACAATAATTCCTTGAGCATATTCCATGATTCTACTTATTAGATCTAACATTAAATACTATACAATACCTTTTTTATACAATAAAAAAGCTATTTATTTATTTTTTATTATAGTTAAATTATAAATTGTATTTTCAACTTACATATAAAGAGGAAATTGCATTAATATTACTAGGCTGTTTCAAAAATCCCTGTGCATAAGTATAGCTTTATTTCATATTACATATTTTAAACATTATTGAATACAATTCTTCAAATTAAAGTCCATTGTTTTCAATTCTACTTTCACCCATCTTTCTGAAGTATCAAATATCCACTTTTCGTCACTTGATAATTTTTTCAGAGCATATCACATTTTTCGGATTTTGAAGTAAAATTTTGCAAACCTCAATGCCCATGCAGCGCTATTGGTCTTGTGCTACTGTCAAGTCATTTTGGTTAGACCTTGGTATTAAATTCCGTACGCCCAGGATTTTTAGGATGACAAGCCACTGTGTCATTAGAAGCTCCTGATATGGCTGATAATTCACAAGTAGCTGTATTTAGGTCCTGATTCATACATTCAAAAAGAACGTCATGGATGACCTGATCCGGGTTTATCTGAAAGCCTCATATTCCCATTGTTTAAATGCCTGAACCTCAAATGCAGCAATATTTTGATAGATAATTGACTCTCCATCTATGGCACAAATTCCTTAGGCATCTGCCTTTGCTCTCTGAAACTTTTTTTCCAGTAATGTCTCAAAAGACCGCGAATCACAATTCTTTCTTCCGACATTGCAAGTTCATTTAAAAAATGTAAATAAACCCATAAAGCCAAATCGTCACAGGCATTAAAGGATCAGTCAAAGTAAACATAGACAGAAATAGTAGGAACAATAATATTCTTATAGGATTCAATATGAGAGTTGGAATTTAGCCTAACTTAAGAGGCTAGTAATGTGTAAGGTACATTCAAGAGAGAGTAAATATTGGGTTGTCTGGAAAATAATACAGGATTTCATGTTTTCTTCATCTCAACCCTTTATATTATGTTTATATTATTCTTTTGTATAGGTATCAACATTTATCAATTCTCTTCCAAACTAAACTTTTTTTAGCTTCTGTAGCATTTCATTATTAGGAAGTAATTCAGTCTTTACTAAACTGCCCGAGCATGATTTTTGCATAATTTTGTTTTTAAATGATTTTGACAAGTTTAAATTCGGTCAGAACGGTGCCAGAAAGGCCAGAAACATTAATGAAGTCTGGGGCGATGGCAATATAAGTGACTTCACAATTCAACAATGGTAAAAAATTTCAAGAGGAAGACTTCAACCTAGAAGATAAAAATCGTCATGGAAGGATTTATTCTCTAGATAACAATGTTCTGAGAGCTTAAACTTTGAAATTTGAAAAATTGATTAAAGAAAATTTCAGAATAGCTGTTTTATAACTTGCAGAAAAACTCTCAGTTAGCAAATCGACCATCATTGGCCACCTTAACGCAATTAGAAAGGTGAAAAAGCTTTACACTTTGTTTCTCCTGAATTAAACATCTGCCAAAAGAATCTTTGTTATGATGAAGTTTGAGTTACACTTCTTTCCCAAAACAGACATAAACCTCACTCGCCTTACTCTCTAGGCCTTTTGTCTACCAACTACTGTTTTTTTTTAGACATCTGAAAAATAATATTTTCTTTTAAAAAAATTGTGTTATTTGTTTTATTTTAAAACCATAAACTTCCATTAAAATCCAGACAACTCAATAGGTGAATAATTAGGATTTAAAAGTATTCAGGAATGGATTGTAAAATATTTACTTCATATAGATGGTGAGAGGTTTGTAGCCAACTCTCTTCTAGAGCATCATCTTCATGAATTCTCTGAAATTTGTGTAATCATGCTCATACTCATATGATGTACTAACTATTCCTTATAGTAAGCGATAGCTTTCCAAACTTGAAGATTCTATTTTGTTTATTGAAAAAACATGATACTGAGAATCTTTCTATAAATAAGCCACCTCCATAGATTATTTGATGATTTTTAAAATGCTTTATTTCTTAATTTATTGTACTAAAATAAGCATAAAGCTAGAAAAAATACGTAAGGTGATTTTTGAAATAAATGGAAAAATCCAAATTATAAAGCCATGACTCTCCAACATAAAAGTGAATAGATAACTTGCCTATTTTGGCATGCGTATTCACCTGTAGGTTGGAAACTCACGGCTTCGTAGTTTGGATTTTTCCATTTTTAACATTGATTTGTAGTGTTCATTGTCATTATGTAGTTGCATTTGTTTTTTTCAGCTAAAGTATTTGAGCTTTGAAGAACTCCAACAGAGAATGTCAACATTAGATTCAGAAATGGAACGGGAAATAGATGAATTGAGGAGGCTTTATCAAACAAAGCGACAACCCATTCTTGATGCCATTGACCAGAAGAGGAAACGTCAGCAGAACTTTTGAATTAGTTTGAAAAATAATTATTATATATTAACTGTAACAAATCAGATTATTCATAAATCTGTTATTTTTAATAACCACTGCATTTTTACATTCACAGTTTTCAGACATATTTCGAAAGAGCTTTTATCATACATTTTATTAAAAGAAATTAGATTATGCACTATTTTTGTATGATTCATAAATACTGAAAACTGTGATAAAAAAAAAAGTTATAAAATTCATCTGACAAGTTCTTTTTGATTAATGAATTTAGAAGCGATATTTTTCTTTTATTATTGTTTTTTTTTTTTTTTAATGTATTTATTAGATTGAAATTCGAAAAATCTTAAATTATAGTACATATTGCAATAACTTTGTAGATAAATTAATTTAGTATTCAACTGATAAGTTGGGTTCATAAAGCACAAATTAGTGACTGAAAAGGATAGATACAGATCTGTATTCTATCGAAGTGTATTATTAAATTTTATGTTTTGTAAATTCTATTTGATAATGAGATTAACCTGTAACTAGCTGTTATTGGCTGTGTTGAATTTCGTTGTGGTTATTTGCCGTAAGTTTACCATTTATATTTATAGTCAAGATATAGTGGACTGATTCCTGTTTATTTATTACAATTGTGTTGGTCCTTTAAAAAAAAAAAGAAAGAAAAATGTGGTTGAGGCTATCACAGCAACTTTATGTATGAAAGGAACTTTTTTATTTATATATTTATTTTAAATGAATACTAAATGAAAAAAATAAATTTTTTTAAATTACATTGAATATTGAGTTTAAGTAAGCTTCTGTCACTAAGAAAAACTTTTTTCAACATCAGCTGGATTGAACAGAGCAGCCTAATTTTATGCATTCAAAACCAGTCGGTCAAAATTCAAGAATTATATTATCTTTTTATTATTATTTTTTTCCTGATAGGTCTGCTTTCTGTTTGTTTTTCCGCTCAGACATTTACTATGAAGTTCAAATTTATTTTTGTTAGGATACATATAATTACAATTCTTCACAAATATGTTAAATGTTTCTGATTGAACCTATTCTGATGACCACTATTTCAAATCATCAGGGAATCTGTATATGCGGTTTAATAAACATCTTTGCACTGTTTATTTCAGCCATGTTAATGATAAAAAAGAAATTTTTTTTTTTTTTATATTAAGAATGTTATTTTAGGTAACTAAAAAGAGTTCGGTCTTAAATATTCAATATAATACTGTTGCTGTAATAGCCTCAATTAGCCTTAACACAGTCATTATTTTTTAAGAGCTCATATTACATTAGCTTGACAATCACCACTTGTCATTTTTTAGTGTTTTAAAAAAGTTGAGTAAACAGCATGTGAAGCGCATGTGAAGCCTTCGATTTCTAGCAATAGTGTTCAATGTGATTATTATAAAAATCGACGACTAATAGTTTTAAAAATAGAATTCATATAACGGCCCATACTTTAATTTTAACTGTAGATTCTAATTTTTTAAGCTGCAAACTTCTGTAAATATTTATATATATATTATATTTTAGATAAACTAACAGAGTAAAGACTGGGCATCAGTAGGAAATTTTATTTTTATTAAACATAATGTAACAGGAATTAGTACGAGCATGAACTTTGTATATATCATAAACGCATAAAACCACACATTCTTAATTAAGTTACTAGTATAAATGTTGTATTTATTGTCGAGGATTAATTCATAATGAAACAGATGCCATATAGACTTTACTTTTTGTTTGTATAGTTTTTATTATTAAAATCAAAACAGTAAATTTGGCTGATGCCTTTT